CCTATGCGTGTACAAATGTGCATGCAAAATGTCTGCTTGGCTCTTAAGATCATGTTGAGGGGGCTGTTCTCTGGGCGTTCCATCTCTGGTGTATGGGAAAGTGGGAACTGGGAACAGAGCCATTTCTCTGCTGGTAACCTCATTATGGAATACTCTGCCCAGAGACATCTACCTGGCACCAAGTAAGCTTCAGGTCCCAGGTCAAAACAATTTTCTTTCTATGTGGTTCCATGCCAATTTTTCTGTTGTTTTGTGTACCAATGGGAGCTTTTGAAAGATAAGTCTGATTGCTGTGGAGGGAAGGTGACTTTTGTGGGGGAATCACGTTCTCCATGGGCTGTGGTCCTGATGCCAATTGGCTTTCCTTGTTGTTGTTGTTGTTGTTGTTGTTGTTGTTGTTTAGTCGTTTAGTCGTGTCCGACTCTTTGTGACCCCATGGACCAGAGCACGCTAGGCACTTCTGTCTTCCACTGCCTCCCGCAGTTTGGTCAAACTCATGCTGGTAACTTCGAGAACACTATCCAACCATCTCGTCCTCTGTCGTCCCCTTCTCCTTGTGCCCTCCATCTTTCCCAACACCAGGGTCTTTTCCAGGGAGTCTTCTCTTCTCATGAGGTAGCCAAAGTATTGGAGCCTCAGCTTCACGATCTGTCCTTCCAGTGAGGACTCAGGGCTGATTTTCTTAAGAATGGAGAGGTTTGATCTTCTTGCAGTCCATGGGACTCTCAAGAGTCTCCTCCAGCACCTGTTATTAAATGAACCCCTACCCTCCCAGCTTATGACAATGCACTCTAAGCATTTAATGTAGCCAGATCTCCTTCCTATTGCCAGATCTGCCCAAAGAACTTGGAAGGCTGTGATGGAGAATCTTGCCAGCAATGACCAGTGATGAGGGAGGCTTTCCCCAAGGGTAAATATACGGTACATGAAACAAAAAACATTGGCTAGCTTGTTCAATATTCAAGGTATAGCTCAGCCGATAGAGCATGAAACTCTTAAGCCCAGGGTTGTGAGTTGGAGCCCCACATTGGGCAAAAGATTCCTGCATTGGAGTACATTGTCACCAATATAGAAGTAAAGGTAAAAGGTAAAGGACTCCGGGCAGTCACGTCCAGTCAAAGGCGACTATGGGATTGTGGCGCTCATCTTGCTTTCAGGCCGAGGGAGCCGGCGTTTGTCCACAGACAGCTTTCCGGTTCATGTGGCCAGCAAGACTAAACTGCATCTGCCGCAACAGGACACCGTGACGGAAACCAGAGTGCACGGAAATGCCATTTACCTTCCCGCCGCAGCCATTTACCTATTTATCTACTTGCACTGGCATGTTTTCGAACTGCTAGGTTGGCAGGAGCTGGGACAGAGCAACAGGAGCTCACCTCATCATGGGGATTCGAACCGCTAACCTTCTGATCGGCAAGCCCAAGAGGATCATTGGTTTAGACCCCAGTGCCACCCGCAATATGCTGATGACACGCAGCTCTACTTTTCCTTTACAGAACCTCCTGGTTCATTATTTCCTATCAGCTGAAGCACAAAGATTTCCTATTTATAACTCTTGAGTATCTTGCATGTGTCCACAAGGCACATCTTTCATATATCTAAATATTTAAAAGAATAAGACATAAAAATACTAGCAACAACCACAACAACAATATATTCAGTACCTAAGAGAATGGGCAGAAATGTAAACAAGTACACACATAAGACGTTACAAGTTTGGGCTGCCTCAATTAACACAAATGAGTTTATCACTGTGATTTTTGCCAAGAAAAGATGATGGGTTATCAGGAATGTTAACAGAAGGACTTTAATGGGCCTTAATGGCCTTAAACTCTCCCCTCTTCACCCCTGGAATGTGACATTATAAGAGCAGAGGAAGGGATGGAGAGAAGCAAGTCAGTCAGAGCTGGAAAGAATTGAGAGCTGGCTGAGAAGTCCATGCTTCCTTCCCTGTTCCCAAATGCTCTCCTCGCATATTTGTAAACAAAGAGATATGTCTTATCCAAAGGAAATTAAATCCTGGACTTCTCAGTGGTCAAGAAAGTGAGGAGCACAGAAGAGTGCATTTTCCTTTCTTTCTTTCTTTCTTTCTTTCTTTCTTTCTTTCTTTCTTTCTTTCTTTCTTTCTAAAAACAGACCTGAGGAACACAAGGATGAAAAAGTTGCATTCTCCTACCAGAGAAGAACGGCAGATGAAGTTGATGGACTATGCTGAAATAGCTAAAATGACAGGAAGAATCGGAAACCTGCTTCACAGTGTTTACAATTTGAGAACGATGTTCTCAAGTTGGAACATGTGCGTGCTCGCTTCGGCAGCACATATACTCAAGTTGGAACATGTGCAGAGGAGGGCGACCAAGAATATTAATAATAATAAAAATAAAAATTTTATTTATACCCCACCCTTCCCGGTTCAAAAACCGGGCTCAGGGTGGCTACCAATAAATTTAAAACACTTTAAAACACTTAATTATAAAAACAGCATAAAATACAGTATAAAAACATGAATAACAATAAAATTCAAAAATCAATTAGATAATCCCCAGGGCTAGCTGGCTGAATTGGTCCTACTTGGGCCAGCGAGGAGGCCAGGGGAGAATTAGCTGTGGGGTCACAGAGCGGGTGATCTTCATAAAAGGGGAGGGGGAGGGAAGAGAAGATCAAGGGTTTTGGAAACCAAGCCTTATGAGGAATGGTTGAGGAAAACAGATATCTTTAGCCCGGTAAAGAGGAGATTGGGTTGACATATGATACACATGTGTATGATATGATACACATATGATACACCCAATCTCAAATAGCTAAAGGGCTGTCACATGCAGAATGGAGCAAGCTTGCTTTCTCCGGCTCCAGGGAGTAGGACACAAACCAATCGATTCAAGTTACTAGAAAGGAGAAGAACTTTCCGACAGTAAGAGCTGTTTGACAGTAGAAAAGTCTCCATCCGAAGGTGGAGGTTTATACGCAGGTGGAGGTTTATAAACCTTGGAGGTTTATACGCAGAGGTTGGATAGCCATCTGTCATGGATGCTTTAGCTGAGATCCCTGCTGTGCTGGGCCCGGGGGTAAACACGGTCCAGGTCCAGTCCCAAATCCAAGGGTTCCATGAGGAGTCAGGCAGGCAGGACACGAGGCAGCAAACCAGGCAAGGTCAGGCACAGGATCTCAGGCAGCTTATGGCAAACAGCAATGTTGCTCCCACAACCTGGGGCAGGGTCCGACAGCCTATTATCTCTGACAGGGTAACGGCCGGTCCTGATCCCCCAGTGACTCACCTCCCTGTTTCGCCTGAAGGTGAGCACTCCTCCTGCGACTACTCAGGTCTCTCCTTCTCTAAGAGCTTAGTCTCTGCAGCTCGGGAGGCGTTGGTGGGTTACTATACCCAGGGGCCGCCTCAGCCTCCCCTGACCAAACCGGTAGTGGAGCAGCTGTAAGTGATGGCCCAGCTGAAGGCAACGAGGTAATCCCTGCATCTGGAGCCAGCGCAGGCTCAGGCCCCTGAATCAGCCCAGCTGGTGCTTGTTGCAGGGGAACCTGTGCAGACTAGGACTGTTTGACAGTAGAAAGGTCTCCATCCGAAGGTGGTGGACTCTTCTTCCTTGGAGGTTTATAAGCAGAGGTTGGGTGGCCATCTGTCATGGATGCTTTAGCTGAGATTCCTGCATTGCAGGGGGTTGGACTAGAACTCTACAATTCTATGATTCTCTTCTACCCCCCCCCCATTATCGCCATGAAAACTCTAACCACTACACCACACTGCGTAAAAACGACTTTAGGTGCTGGGCTTTATGGGGGCATAAACTTCACATTTCACCAGAAGTTGTTTGAGAGGCACATTGAAAATACACAGAGCGCTATGGAGGAGAAGTGACAACTGTGATCCCATCCACTGGGAAATAGCTGCTCTGGTTTTCTACTATTTAACGTGCATTGGGCTATGTGTGCGCTACATTGCAGCTTTTTAGCTGGAATCAGGCGTGCCAACTTAAATAAAATATTGGGGGATGGGGCAGACAAGCTCCTCCCCACATAATCGATCACATGACGCAGCACACACACACACCATTTGAATGACAATGCCTATCCAGTTTGAGGGGTTCTTGACCCTCTCAAATATTTTGGGGGGCGGGGGCGCGAAGGGACCTTGGCCCCTAGGAGTTGGCTCTTATGGCCGGAATCTAAGTAGCTATCTTGACGCTCCATCAGCCAGCCTTAAGCTTTAAAAGTGGGACCGATGGCGAACCTGGGCAATGTGGCGTGCTGTGTTCAGAATGCTCCGTTCCTGGGTGGTTTGGTTTTTCTGCCTATCATCAGCACAGTCTGCCAGCACTCCATGGCTTCGGTGCACATGCATTTCGAAGGAACTGCAACTAGCATAGCCTGGACCCTGTGCTGGGTGTCCCAGTGCCACCTGTGGAGAGCTGTCCCAAAGTAGCAGTTTTTTGTTCGTTCGTTTGTTTTGTTTGCGGAAGCAAGCCAATCCAGGGCATTGAAAAAAGTCAAAAAGCCCCTTACCCCTGGTTTCCCTCCATGAAATGCTAACTGAAACCTGCAGGCAACAAGGAGGTTTTGCAGCGGAGGTACCTAGATGGGGGGTCAGTTGTTAAGAAGCCATTGAGAAGACATCAGAAGGTGTCTTCATGGGGAGACCCCAGCCACAAAGGCAAGCAGCAGCCGCTGCACTGCGCTCTCTGTCTGTTTCTCTCCCTTCCTAATGAGAGGGTGACTATTCCTTTTCCTTCTTTCTCTTTCTCTCCCAGTGCATTCTCTTCTCTCCACCCCCCACCCACCCCAGGCAAACCCATCGCATTCCTGAGCCCAAACTGAGAACTCCAAGTGATGAGGTGGCGTCTCTCCCCCTTCTTAGCCCAGTCTCACCCCCCCATCCTTCTCATTCTCTCTTTACACACACACACACACACACACACACACACACACACACACGATGAGATTCTTTTCTTTTTGGTCATGCTGCAAAAAAACCCAAAAAAACACAAAAATTAAAGACACATCTTCGTTCTGGAAAGCACCCAGCCTTTTTAAGCGTCCAAAAACCCAGTCAGGATAGAAGGGAGGAGGCGGTGTCTCCTGCAACGTGTGCGTTGCCACAGTCAATCAAAGCCGGCGGGATTTTTTTTGCATCTGCGTTGCTGGAGGGAAGTCTCTTTCGTTGCTTTGGTGGAGCTCTGGTGTGCATTTAATTGCAGCCTGTTAAACCCACACGGAGCCAGGGCGCCTGCGCAGAAGGCTTCGTGGCTCCACTTCTGACGTGTCCCTTTTGAGTCGAGAAGAATACACGTGGATCTGAAAAGTGGAAACGCAGAAATGTTTTTTTTACTTATTTATTTTGGGGGCAACCTGGAAGAGAGGAGTGCTCCGCGGAGCAAAGGGGTGAGGGATACAAAGCGGTCGATTTTTTGCATCATCGTTAGCAAGGCCCGCCTGCGGAGGGTAGCAAGGCTGGGCATTTGCCAGTGTCTCAAGAGGTGGTGGAAATGGGGGAAATGCCACACACATTCAATGCCAATGCTGTCAACTGTGGCAGCCTGTAAATCTCCTTTTTGACCCAGGGAGATCATCGGATGCACACGGCGCTACGACTCTTCATTTCCCCAGAGTGGCTGGAGAAACCTAGCCAGATGGGCGGGGTATAAATAATAAATTATTATTATTATTATTATTATTATTATTCATTGCCCTCATCCTACTGCATCCAGTTTCACTGCCTGGAAGTAGGTCATATGAGTTGCAACCATCAAGGGCATTCAAGTCCACACGAGAGCTCCATCTCCCTCATTCAATGCTGGGGTAGTTAGAAGTGGCTGGACTGCAGTTCCCATTAGCCCCAACCAGCATGGCCAATAGTCAGGGATGATAGGAGTTGTAGTCTAACAATATCTGCAGGGCACCATACTCACTACCCATGCAGCTGAAGCCATCGCCTAGGAGCGTTATTTAGATTTGTGGCCTTTTCCAGAGTTGCGATCCTCCTTTAATCGCAATCTATGGCATGAGAATCACTTTTCATTCACCGCCCTGACTTTCCTCTCCCCAGTTTTCAGATGCTTTTTTCATGGTGCAGTCATGGATGCACAATGGCAGCCGTATTATCCCCTTGCGCAGACAATGTGCATCTCTCTCCCCCCCCCTTCCACTCAACTCTTTCCTGAACAACCAGCAGCAAAGAAAACCATTTTAAAAGAACAGGGAATGGCGGCAGTACTGCTGGTGCAGATCCACCTGAAACCAGGTGGTAATTCCACCGGTTGAAGGTCAATGACGGGAGGTTTCTTTTTTTAAAAAAAATAATAATTAATTTTTATTAAGTTTTCTATTTAACAATCCAATCATATCACATTAATTATTCCAAATTATACCAATACATATCATAAAGTCCAAATATTTTGCCAAATTATATATTTTTGTTGGGGGTTCCCATGCTTCGAGTTCAGTAAGGGTCCAGTCATCTCATATTTCTGCTGCTTTTAGTGTTCACCGGTCCCATCTTTCAATCTTCTTGTTGTTATCCTTTTTCTTCTTAATAGCCTCTGAGTTGTTTCCACAGGTGAGTTAAAGTAAGCAATATTATGCTTCTGTGTGAACTTTGTAAAGCTCTCCCTTTTTTAAAAAGCTGGTAAGTCTTTTGTTTGCAATAAACTCTCACACGCTGATCCAAAAGTCCTCCTTGAGCGGCAGACGCCATCATTCTCAGTTCCAATGAAATAAAATCCAGGCGAATGATGGGAGGTTTCTAAAGTGTGGTCCGTGGACCACCAGTGGTCTATGAGTTTCATTCCAGTGGTCCATGGAAGTTGCAGAAGTAGGAGGCTCTGCCTTCCTCGGGGGAACAAAGCCATGGCTGACGGCTTGGTGGGGGAAGGTCCCAAGCAGGGTAAAGAAGCTCCTTATTGAAAGGAGTGGGAGGGGTCTATGCATGGGAAAGAAAGAAGCTGCAGGAAAGAGGGGAGGTCCTTAAGGAGAGAGCACAAGCAAGGCATAGGTGGGGAAAAACATTAAGTTGTCCTCCAAGACCAGGGGTCAGCAAACTTTTTCAGCAGGGGGCCGGTCCACTGTCCCTCAGACCTTGGGGTGGGGCAGATTATATTTTTTTTGGGGGGGTGAATGAATTCCTGTGCCCCACAAATAACCCAGAGATGCATTTTAAATAAAAGGACACATTCTACTCATGTAAAAACACTGATTCCTGGACCGTCCGCAGGTTCGGGTTTAGAAGGCAATTGGGCTGGATCTGGCCCCCGGGCCTAAGTTTGCCTACCCATGGCCAAGACCCTCAGCAATTTTCACCTGGTCTTTGGTAAGGGGGTCAAATTTGGGAGCCACTGTGGGAATGTTCAGGGTGGCAGGAGAGGATATATTGTTTATTAATATCCTTCTTAACTTGCGCTGGAAAGTTCCTTTATGTAGCAGAGTTACATTCCCCTTTTTACATGCACAGCAGATAGCTGGCTGCAGGCTCGTGTGAGCCTCTCACTATTATACAATTCAGTCTGTCTCAGATTGAATTGTATGTTCCCGATAAAAAGTAAAGGCAAAGGGACCCTTGACCATTAGGCCCAGTCGTGACCGACTCTGGGGTTGTGGCGCTCATCTCGCTTTATTGGCCGAGGGACCCAGCGTACAGCTTCCGGGTCATGTGGCCATCATGACTAAGCAGCTTATGGCGAACCAGAGCAGTGCACGGAAACGCCGTTTACCTTCCCGCCGGAGCAATACCTATTTATCTAATTGCACCTTGACATGCTTTTGAACTGCTAGGTTGGCAGGAGCTGGGACCGAGCAATGGGAGCTCACCCCATCACGGGGATTCGAACCGCGACCTTCTGATCGGCAAGTCCTAGGCTCTGTGGTTTAACCCACAGCGCCACCCGCATCCCTGTTCCTGGTAAGCTCCCTTGAATCCCTCTTAAAAGAATAAAGATGCCACAATCTTATTCAAAGTCAATAAAAGAAGTTTACTCACATCAGTTCACAGTTGGATTCCGGAAGGCAGACTTAGTTACAAATATGTACATGTGGATCTACCCCATATGGGGGAATAATCTCAGTGCATCTGCTAGCTGAGAGCTAGCAGAGCAGTCCTAGCCGAAAGCTGGTCAAACGAAGAAGGAAGTCAAAAAAAGAGGAAGTGTGCTGTGTGACTTGTCCTTTTGTTACCTGGACAGGTAAGGCCATGGCCACCTTCTACCACATGCAAAAGGAAGGATGCTCCAGCCAAGAGGAACAGGAAGTTTCGACTGGCTGGACCAAACATTCCCTCGTTTGTCTTCTCTAGAGTTACAAGGGATGTTGCACTTGACTGCCTCTCATGGATCACTTCCCACAGCCACTGCCCTTGACAATCTCTAAAATATATTCGGATCCGTGATCCATCCTTGTTTACAGTTGGTTCAAGGGATCCCGACCAGGCTGGCCCATTCATGAGGAATGCATCAAACCGTGCTTCTGCCTTCTCCTTGGCAGTCCTCCCTCCCTCCCCATTGCTACAGTAGACCCCTTGGCAAATAGGAGGTGCTGGTGGTCTCCTCCCATCCCTAAGGAGGAAATGGCAGGGTCTACCCTCTGGGGTCTCCCAGGCTCTGCAGCAACCCAGTGTGATTCATAGCAAGCCCCTCTCCTTGCCATTGTCTTTGATCAACTTCAATGGTTGATTTGATCCCTGTGTTTCTGCTATATGCCATGTTTCTACGGGAGTTGCCTGATGTGTGTGGGGGGGGGGAGAGAGACATGCATTTTGCCTTGTGAGCCCACCCAATTCACACTTCCCGAAACAATATGCCAACCGAAATGTAGGCGCCCTTCCAAAATCTGCTCTCCTCTGAATTTTGCAACGCAGTCAAAATACGGTCTCCAAAAATGCATACGTTCGGAGAGTGTGCACATATAAATGCAAATAGTGGTCCAAGTAATGTACAACTGTTGTGTTATACATGCTGGAATTACTTGCAAATGTGTGTTCATTAGGGGAAAGGTGGACTAAAGCTCTAACAATTTTTCATGACTTGTCGCGAAACTTTGTTGCGAAATTTTGAACGAAAAATTCACGAACTGGGGCAGAAATATGGCGAAGACTGGGAAAATAAGCAGAAATTGGACAGATTTGTCGGCGTCTGCTGCTAAGATCTATTCTGCTGCCATCGTGATTATTAGGAGCGTTAACTCATTCCAGAGTGTTCCTGTTTCATGGAATAGATGCATGTAAAACCTTAAAACTGCAAAGAAGCACAGAACCCAAATCCCGCTGCTTCTCAATGCTTCCAAGGATAAAGTCACACAATGATATTTCTCTCTACATTTTTTATTTCTCCGGGAAAAGTTTGCTCTCTTTCTCATGGTGTTTGCCTTGGGATGCCTTCCCTTTGGAATCTTCTTGGTCCTTATTTTAAAACCCAGAAGTTGAGTGGTTGGCCTGTTAAACATACATGCATGCATACACACACATTTATATGCAGCGGTAATTACAGCTTCTAAAAACTGCAACGTATCTTGTGTGCTGTTGTCATGGTGCTGCTTCTTTTTCCAACCAACGTGGCTCTTCACGCTTTCAAACAGTCATGGAAGTTTGCCATTCTTATTTTTTTTTTTTTAAAAAAAAGAAAAATGCCCTTGAGGTCCATCAGGGAGACGGAGTATACTAGCTAATAAGAAATCTGCCTTTGGATTTTTCCCTGAGCTTCCTGGAATGCTTTTATTTGAGTCACAACAACAAAGCAATCTTTGCAACTGGGATTTGAGGGGTTTGATCATTCAAACCTTTGTGAAATAAGTGGTGGGAAGTTTGAGGGAGTCATTTTTATTGATCAAAGGTTTGGGATACTCTTAGGGAAGTCTCGCTGAGGTTCCAGATTGGGATAGAAAGAGAAATATTGTGATTTTCTTTCTTTCTTTCTTTCTTTCTTTCTTTCTTTCTTTCTTTCTCTCTTTTTCACATCAGTACAAATAAAGGGACAGTTTGGAATGTGGGTAACATTGTGTACAATGGGAAAAACAACTTTGTATGGTTTTAACAATGTGTTTCAATCTGCTATGTGCACATGTGAAAACTACCCTGCTCTGTTACACATCCTAACAGACCGGCAGCCATGAATATAGGTAAGCCCAGTGCTTTTTAACAGCAATGTTAAAAAGCGTGGCACTTACTCCTGATGAGTACCGGCACTGGGTAAGCCATATCACACAGTGAACACACATGCACAGGTAGCCTTCCTGTTGTTGTTTTTCACAGGGAGGGTGGTCAAAAATGGAAAGCCAAAACCCTGATACTTTGAGACACCCGACCGCAACCCTGTACTACCTGTGATCATAACTCATCGCTCCATTAGTGACTGCACTGCATGCAAGTTAAATCCCACCGATTTTTTCCTATGGAATTCCCAAGCAAGATATGTTTTACTTCGCTGGGGTTGTAAACAAGACCAACTCCAGAACTTTCCTCTTTTCAAGCTGTCATAAGCAAATGTTTCCTGACGCAGAATCTCAGGTGTACTGCAATTCACCTACAGAGTCCTCATATGCATATGGTGTAGAAAAGGAAGAGGGGGAACTTCGAAGGTCAGGAAATTCTGTGCAGAGCTGCTAAACGCAGAGGGACTTGCAGAGGTATTCCTTTCCCCTGCAATTTTGCCTCTTTGCTTCTTTTCTTTTGGTCCTTTGTAGATCATTTCAAGCTCCCTTCTCGTTTTTTTTAAATAGGACACTCTCCAAGCCACTATATACACTTTAAAGGTGTGCATATGAAATTAAGCGGCAATTATTTTTGAAAGGACAGCGAGAAAGAGGACAAGGCGGCGAAAGAAAGGATGGATATAAAATTAAAGCAAACAACAACATAGCAAGGATCAGATCGCATTTAGAGGAAGTTTGCAGGATCCCCATAGTTTGGCTTTTTCTGTACTTAGAGAAGAAGAGAAAACAAGGACAAACAAATACACACTTTGCTCTACATCTCCCTCTGGTGCCTCACCTTCACAGGTGCGCTACTAGGTCGTGCAAAACCTGCAAGCTCCATCTCACTACTATCTGATCTTGCATGGCTCTTAATATTCAGCTTTTTTCTTCCTAACGCTCCTGTAACTCCTATTCTTCAAATCAGTCTGCTCCCACTTTTCTTTTAACTCCCCCAGTCCGCATACATCCATACACAAACGCATAAGCACCCTTCAATTCATACCCCATTACATTCCTCCCTCTTCCTGCAGAATCTACTGCCAACCCAGAAGATCCACTGGTTTTCTGGAAGAGAGGCTAGCGGGGTCCATTCTTTTTGTGATTGGTTAGAAAGGGGCTTGGCTTCACTTCTCCACTTTTTGGGAGTGGGTGCGTGTGTGTGTGTGTGTCTGCGTGTCTGTGTGCGCCTTGGGGGCAGGCTGGGCTCCTCTGATTGGCTGAGGGGCTGGCCCAAGATCTCCCCCTCAGCACTCAGAAGCAAGCGAAGAAGGGATCCACCTCTGGGACACTGGACCGTATAAAAAGGGAGGCTAAAAACTTGACAGAGTCAGTAGGAAGTTTCTGCTGGGGTCTGGAGTGGAACTACATAAACCAGACCATCCCTGTATGACTGGACACTAAGGCAGAACCAAGGATACAAAGAGTCTTCATGTCTAATATTTAGACATGTTCAGCTTTGTGGATTCCCGGTTACTGCTCTTGATAGCAGCAACTGTTCTACTCACCAAAGGTCAAGGCGGAGAAGACCGTAAGTACAGCATCTTATGTACTCTCGCACAGTGTATACATGTTAAATGACAGTTTTTATTGTAGTCCTATGGATGGGGTGGTGCTTGCCCCCATATTTCCTTTCCCCCCATCTCTTTCTGTCGAATGCAAAATTATTCCCCCCCCCTCTGCGCCACCCAGAACTCCAGAAGTGCAAAAGACAGTAAGCACCAAACCATTTCTACCGAGCAGTTTGCCAAAGTCAGGGGAGAGGGGCGGCGGTGGCGGCTGAGTTGTGATTTTGCAATCTGTGCTTCCCTGTGGCTGTAATACTCGCAGCGTGTTGCGGTGGCTTGAGAGATGTAGATATAAGACCAGGCAAAGAGAGCGCTTGTTATATACGGTCTTAAGATTCCTTAAAAAAAGAAATTAAAAAAAATGAGAAAGGTCAACACACGTTTGTGACCTTTCCGAACCTTCAGGAGTTGGCATGAAGGCAATGCGGGGAGGAAGGCTTAAGAGACTGAAAAAGAAGGTATCTCTCGCACCTCGTAGATTTCTCCTGAAAGTGCTCTATGGAGAAAACAAACCACTCTTCTAAAAGCAAACTTAGCCAGCTGTGCATAGCCTTGGGCGTGTTTCCTTTGGTCTCTCTCCCCCCCTCTCCCTCCCTCCTTCTTTTCTCTTAACATGTCCCTTGGGGCCAGATAACAAGTTGGATCAATTAGAATCTCTGCACTGGCATGCCAAGTTCAGGAAAGCGGGGCGGGGACTGCGAGTGGGTTGTCACTGGAGGGGGGACAGGAAAGGGGAGCGCGGCAAATGATGGAAAACTCATTGTGCGTTCTTGGAAAGCCAAGCGCTTGACAGGGAGGAGAGGCGAGGGGGACAAAGCTGTTTTCCCTGCCTTGTCGAAGAAGTCTGCAAAAGCCATCAGGAAAATATTAGGGGAGGGGGGGAGAGGAGGAGGAGGAGGAGAGAGAGAAGTTTCAGGATGATTCATAAGGAAAATGTTTCAGCAACTTATAAAGCGCAGGAGTCTAGACATCACTTCATAGACAAAGCCTTTTGGATGGTAAAGGATTGGAGGGGATCACTTTTGCTCGTCAACCAAGTCCAATGGCGACATCTACTGGCCATCAAGGGACTCGCTTGTCCTTGGCATTCTTCTATAGACTTGCCAGGGGTGGGGTTGTGGGGAGTGGCCTTAAAATGGGTCAGCAATGATCAAAGGGAGTGTATTTCCGGGGTCGTCAACTGAACAGGATTAGTAAACAACTCCTCACCGGAGGGAAATCAATTTACCATCAAGCAAGCAAAATTTTTGTGTGTAGTATATTCATCACTCCAATTATGGAAGTTTTGCTGCCATCTAGTGATGGGTGGGAAGTTTTCCTGCAGCATCCCAGGAGAGTGTTCTCAAACATGAGTTTCATGTTCCCAAAACAACTTGACTCCTTCCCCCTTTAATTTTTTCCTGAGAATAGCGGGTTTTCTTTCTCCCTCCCTGTCCAGTATCTGGTGGGTTTTTTTATTTTTGCAGAAAATTCAACAGTCCAGCGCTCGGTTTTAAAAGGAGGAAATAATTTATAAAATGCACGGTCCCTCATTTAAAAAACAAAAACAAAATCTTCTAGAAAAGCAAATGCTTACTTCATCTCCAGCATTCGTCCTTGGTCATATCTCTTGGTACCATCCTTAGCTCAGGTATGCGCCACAGTTCACATCCATGGTGCTACGAAACTCCTTGTTTCTGAGCAAGCTGGCGTCGGATTTCAGCCAAGGCGGGAGGCCTAGTGAGCCTGCCCTATTGTGATCCACACCTGCTGACTCCTCATCCTACCTAAATTGTTTGCGATGGAGCTGATTTCCCAAGGCCTCACGCCATCAGCAGGATGCAATTTCTTCTCTTACACGGGTCCTCCTCCAGTCCAAATTCCCTGAGTCTCTCTCCTCTCCTCCCTCCCTCCCTCTCCCTCTCCTCTTTATCTCTTTTGCTTCTTAGAAGGCTGTGAATTTCTTTCTCCTTTCTGTGTTTGGCTTGGCTTCAGCTCAGAACGTTGAGGTTACCAAGTTGGATGCAACAACCGGCCAGAAGTTTTGTTTAAATTCCAAAGCAACTGGAAAGAGTTATTGTGAGGCTGGCTCGTTTCCTGTGTCATAGAGTTTGCCTGATGAAAAGCAGATGAGGGTTTTCTTAGAGCGCATGCACAAAATGTCAGCGTTAAGTGGAGAGCAGGAGGAGGAGGGAAGGGACGCCAACCATCGGAAACAATTTTATTTTTTTAAAAAAATGTATGTGCTCTCCAGATCGATCCGTTGTAAGAGGTTCACATGTTTGCACCTTGACCATTCTGCCGACACTGCTGGCTCCCAAAGGACCCTTTCCCTCTTCCCTTGCCCACCTCATTTCTTGTGTGACCTCCTTCTTTAGTGCCATCTGGAAGATGCATACAGAACGGAATAACGTACAGTGACCGAGATGTTTGGAAACCAAATGCCTGCCAGATCTGCGTGTGCGACAGCGGCAGTATCCATTGCGAAGAAGTGATCTGCGAAAACACAGACGACTGCCCAAATCCCGAGCAACGCGATGGAGAATGCTGCCTTGTTTGCCCTGGTATGGATACTGACTTTACCTACTCTTCTTCCATCCACTCATACCATCAGTATTGCCTACGTTTCTGTCCGTCCATGGTCACTCAGTCCAACACCCCCCCCCACTCCATTTAGGCATACTCCAATCAGTCTCCTGGAGAAACTGCCTGCCCGCAAATGTATTTACTCATTATATCTATTCTAGTTTTACTAATTCACCCATCTTCCCAAACGAAGCATCCACCTTCTACTAATGTACACCAAAATCCTTTTGTTTACCTATCTGGTTCCTCTTCTCCCCTCTCTTCTCTTTACATCAACCAATCAACAGCCATCTTATCACCCATCCATTTATCCATCCACCTACAGCCCCATCACCTATTTAATTGTTTCTTTGTATCCACCCCTCTATGTGCTATCTAACCGCTCATCCATCCATCCATTTTGTTTTCATCGTAAACGTCAATAACAAACCGCTGGTTTCATAGAAATATTTGCGCCCCTTCCTTGAGAGACTGCAGGAATTTGGCAAAGAAAATTCTGCAGAGTCGGGAAAGAGAGTGAAGAGTTGGGAGAGGACCTTTCAGGCATCTTAACTTTAGTTGATGCTATATTGGTGCATTGTGGGAAGAAACTGGGCTTTCTTTCATTTCTTTGAAAAGTCAACACTTCAAATAGGATTGCCCAAGTAGACTGGATGATGTGAATTCGGATGGTCCTTCAGATTGGCCCATTACATATTCTGATTAGGCCAGTGATAGGAGTTGCCATTTCCTATCAACTTCTAAATGTACCTAGAAAAGAAGCCTGGTCTTCATTCAACGTTTATTAAGGGAAGGATGTTCTGATAGACCAGAGGGCATTGTGGGTGCAAGGGAGGGGTAGCAATGATACCAGGTGATGATGATAAATTCTGGGTGATGGTTCTGATTCCTAATATTCCTTTTCCTTTTGTATTCAAGAAACCAGCGAACCTCTCCCAGAAGCCACTGGAGTAGAGGTAAATTATCTTTTGGTAACCCTAACTTCCACTTATTTGGATGCATCGATTTTGTTTTCTTTTTGATAACCAGCTAATCACTATTATCTTCCTAATTGGCAGGGTCCTCAGGGGGAACGAGGCCCTAAAGGAGACAGGGTAGGTATCAGTAATGAAACTTTGGCTGATAATAGTTCAAAGGGGAAAGGAAATAAAATTAATATGCAAGCATGGCAGAAAAGTTGGTGGCAAGTAGTTGTGTGTGACTAGGACAGTCATAAAATATTCTTTGGCCGCATTTTGAAATTTCCATTCCTATACACAAAAGAAATTCTGCCTACTTAGGTTGTTTAAAAGAACACTCGCCCCCTCTAACCTACAGAAAGGAGATTCAAATCTCCCTTTGCTTCTTCTTTTTAACAACATTTGGATTTCTTCAGCTCACACCAGCTTTTAACTAAACATCCCAAAGCTGTTGCAAAAAGACCCGGCCATTTTGGCATTCTTTACTATAGCATCACGGTGGGCGAATAGAAGGTCCCCCTTCAAATGTTGCTGGTGTGTGAGGAATTTCCAAACCAGTTTTGGTCTTCTAATATTGCCTTCTAATAATGGATAGCTTTAGCATACTCAGGAATCTGAAAGTGTTGTGTCTCTTTTGTAGGAAACATATACATTTTTGTGCATGCAGCACCATATACTGCCACGGTGCTAACCTGCGACTTCCTGCTCTCTTTGTTTTCAGGGGCTTCCTGGTCCCCCAGGCAGAGACGGCATTCCTGGCCAACCCGGACTCCCTGGACCTCCAGGCCCCCCAGGCCCCCCAGGCCTCGGCGGAGTAAGTTGGGTTTGCCTCCATAACTTTTGTTTTCCCAACAATTCACGGAGGATGCATTTTTAAGAACCTCAGCAACACGTTCTCCTTTCTCTCTTCCTTCTCCTCCTCCTCTCCCCTTACAGAACTTGGCTCCTCAGATGGGTTACGGTTATGATGAAAAATCTGGTGGCCTTGCTCTTCCTGGCCCAATGGTAAGTGTTGACGGTCTCAGTGGATTTGAGCTTAGTGTGGAAGGAGAAAAGTGGGGAGATTGTAGAAGTATGAATGAAGGAGTCTGTTTCAGCCTTCTTGGTTCCTTAATCTCAGGACAGAATGGTGAGGCCACAGGTAGGGAGGTACATGTTGCTAACTGATGTCCGCCTGATGAGCTCTTAGTAGCAGAAACTGAAGTATCAAAGATACTCCAACTTTATTCTTTTTGATTGAGCAGGCATCTCACTAATAAAGCTGAGTAACTAAGGGATAGCATTGCTTCTTTCCATGAGGAAAAGGGACATGGAATGTGGGTTCCATGAACTAATAATAAGCATCATGACAATGATAATTTTTTATGGTCCTAAGTGTTTACCATAGAGTTGGAAGGGAACTTGAGATTCATCTAGTTATATAACGTTAGATCCAGACTAAGTTGGTTAGACGCAGCTCCCAGTGAAACCCATGGAACAAGTTAGTCATGAAAACTCATTTTAGTGGCAACAGTGGCTTGAGTTTATGGCTGAGCAGTGTGGGTTAGTATACTCGCTTTCTTTAAAATACACCGGTTAATCGGGTTTGAAAAAGGAGCAGGGGACTTAACGGTGAGCAAATCCCCACCAAGAAATTCAATTAGTCTTGCGGGAATCTTTTGAGTGTCTCTCATAGCTTCTCAGAAGTTATTCCATTGCAGGAACCTCCCATTTTGTGTTACGTTTCACGTTAGGCTAAATCTGATGGCAGCCCAACGCCTCTCAGCTGGGAGGTATCCAAACACGCTGACCACTCATATAGCAACTACAAAAACAGACATACCCCAACATCAATGTGGAACACTAGACCAAGAGAGACGAAATGGTTGTTTAAAGAGAGATGGGGGAAAACAATTTAGGAAATGATGTAAAAGTGGGTGGAGGTCAGAGTGAGGCCTAGTTAAGAGAAAAGGTCAAGAATGTATGGTTAGAGCAAGGCAGTACGAGAATGGATACCCACAAGGGTCAAGACAAGATGGCTCCAATTTCATTTACTTGGGAAACATGACTGATTCTTCTCACTTTGGTTTGTAGGGTCCAGCTGGTCCCCGTGGTCTTCCTGGTCCTCCTGGCGCTCCCGTAAGTACTTCTCTGCTTCCATCTTAATAACAAATTCTCAATACATTTTAGGCAAGGGGTTGTGCATTTGGGATTTCAGATGAGAGAGGTGCATTGTAAATGTACGGACCTCAGTACTTGAGGCAATGTTCACCAACCAGAAATTCCCAGTTCTTTCCTTTGGTCCTATTCCTTCCTTTGGTTGAAGGAATGGGGGCTAGTGGGGTTTCTAGTGCTCTGGAGAGCAAGGATTTTGTGCCATCTTTGTCTCTTTCCAGAAAATAATAATAATAATGCAGGCTATATGCAAATCTTCATTTGTATAAATTCTGGGGTCACAGAATTCACTTATCCTTGGCACAGAATAGGAGAATGCTTTGGTAGCAGATTTCTTTTCTCTTTGCACAGAAGAAATAAGGTCCTCTCTTGAGAGGCCTACTCCATAGGCCTGGATGTTCACAGGCATTCACAGAATCTCTGGAGAGATGAGAGAAGGGGCATGGAATACATAACCATTTCCACATTGATGTGTGAGGTGGTTACTTATTGACACTATTCCTTCTTAAAGTGGGTAGACCAACAGTGTGCAATGAAGTCAGGCAAAGGAACCAAAGTAATGTATCGCTTGCCTCTTTGAACAAGAGAGAGGGTGTGTGTGCGCTGGAGATGTAGGTGTCCTGAACTCCAGTCCAAGATACATGAAGAATCTAGATGTTCTGTAGAACACTCTGCCCATGCACAGTGGCACTTGTTTCTATTTCTTTGTTGAGCTCCCAGCACTGGTGAGCTTTGGCTCCAGCTGACCTTTACTGGGAAGCTTATGCATCTATGTTGGGCAAACTGGGATGTAGGCCAGAATAGGACAAAGGTGGTTCAAGAAGAGATGCTTTGTAGCAGGCCAAGAGAGGTCCAGGTTCCAAGGGAAGAGGAAGTTGCTTCAGGCCAGGAGAGCAGAAGTCATGGAGGTGGAGATGAAAGGAAGGGGGCACTCGGGGCTGACCAAACTCAGGTGGTCCATCATGGTCTACCCAAAGCAAATAAGGGTGCAGTAGGTCATGGCCTTCCATCTAACATAGATGCTCTGATTTATCTTCCAGGGTCCCCAAGGTTTCCAAGGTCCCCCTGGTGAACCTGGAGAGCCTGGTGCTGCTGTGAGTACCATCTGAACTATTTCTCGTATCTCTGGCATGCATTATTACAGCGAAGCTGAACGGCCTCCTTGGAGTCTGTTCCTCGGAGTTCTCTTTTTCCACCACTTGGGGGAGCTTTTGAACGTCAAATGCAGTAGACAGGTTTCCGTACTGGGGATTCTTTGGCCCACTTTTGAAAAATTCAACCGGCTTATAAATAGGAGCAGGGACGATTTTAATGCATCTATTTCTTCTCAAACTCTAGGGTCCAATGGGTCCCCGTGGTCCAGCTGGCCCACCTGGAAAGAATGGAGATGATGTGAGTGACTTATGTCTTTTTTTTGGAGTGGGGGGGGGTCCCCCGGAAACTTCTTCTTTCCAATTATCCAAAGACGGAGTGTGCCCAAATAGCCACACAAATCACTGACTTCAGTCTCAAGGTTACTCTCAACTTACAGACTTGAGTTGGCCGACTTATCCACCTGCCTTGCTTTGCTTCCAAGTAAAGCGAGTCAGGTCTAAAAAACTCGCAGTGTAAAAATAAAAAAGCCCTATCTGCAATCAGTGACTTGAAGTCCTAAGCAGCCCACCAAACCAGCACTTGATGGGAGACCCCCACAGTTTGTCAGTGCTGGGCCTTATCCATCCTTGCCCCTTACCACTTTCTCTGGCTTCTCCCTTTCTGCTGAGCAGAAGCACCAATCCTTAAAGAACACCTGTTGACGTTACAGGGCCATTTGGTTGCAAACCTTAATGCGAGGTCAAAGTCCCTTTTACAAACACAGTTCCCCAATCAATGGTCTTTCATCCTCGCGTAGTGCGCTGTTTCTTGAGCATTGGCTCAGACCCTGTCTCCTCTTCTTTCTCCAAGGGTGAAGCTGGAAAACCTGGCCGTCCTGGCGAGCGTGGTGCCCAAGGTCCACAGGTAAGATGTCTCTCATCATGGGGCGGCTGTCAAGCACCTGTCTTTTTAGGAAGAGCTGCTCCTTGTCATGGCATCCCTGGAGCCTTGAGATTACAACCTGTTGTTTAGGGAAAGTGATACAATGTCTTACATTGGCGGCCTGAAAGAGCAGATTCGGCGATCGTATTAGCAAGAAGCAGCTTAAGTTTTTCGATTCCTGCTTCGGTACAGAGGGATGGTTCATTTATAAACCCACCCTACAGCTGTCTCCAATCTCCAGATATTTTGGACTACAACTCTTGTCACCCCTCACAACTGGCCATGATGGCGTCTGGGGCTGATGGGATTTGGAATCCGGCAGCACCTGTAGGACACGGGGTTGGCGAAGGGTGACATACAACCTATTCCCACCCCAAATGCTGTATTGCAATGCATCCCTACTTCAGTTCACCTTCCCGGCAATTTTGCAAGGTGGTTAGGTTTGACTGTGAAACAGTTTATGCGCCTAAGGCCTCAAAGATGGCTGGGTGAGATTTTGGAGCCCACATTTGAACACATCCACTCTGCCCACTAGACAGGGTGATCACTGACAGACTCCTTCCTAGATTGGAAATTTTGAGCTCTTGATGGGTGGTCCCAGCTGTATGGAGAACTAGGATGTTCAAGGAGATGTAAGGACATAGCACAAAACTAGCAGTAAATATGCCGCCATCTGCCTTAACGGCACTTCTTAACCCTTTTAAACTGAGTCCTACAGTGTTGTTGCTATTGATGAAAAGCACATTAGGTATGCCCTAATCATAAACCAGCTATTGGTGTGAAGAGGTCCCACCCACTTGCCTAAAGAAGGCGAGAAAGGTGGGACACGTTTTCTTCTTCTCCTCTGACTCCTAAATAACTTTTTGTTCTCTTGCTTCAGGGTGCCCGTGGTCTTCCCGGAACAGCTGGCCTTCCAGGCATGAAGGGACACAGAGTAAGTGTGCTCCGATAGCTCAATGACCAAGAAAATTCGGAGATCTTGCAATTCAGAATGTCCCCTGGCTAGATTATTTACTTAGGAGTAGACATGCATCCCTCTGGAGCTTTTAAAGTTTACAGCCATCACAATACAAGCAGCATCTGCCATTGCCATCATGGCACCTTCACTAGATAATGCCTGCCATGAAGGTGACAATAGCAATGTGGTCACATAAACCTTGGGGTGAAGCCCCACCTAGAACTATTTATCTTAGAAGGTAGCCAAGGTCCAAGCTGAGAAGAGCATGAAACGAACCTTTAAAAATGTCTACTCAGGTGTTTCTAGTCGACCATTATATTATTATCTTGTATATTCATATCCTTGGTTCCAAGGTGGTCTTCCACCCAGGCCTCTTCAGCTTTTGCATGGTTGCCAATATGGAACCTGTAGTCTTTTCAGTTGAACAGTAAAATGAGGAGCTGCTAACCTTCCAAATGTAGAATTAAGGCACCCCATTGCCTTTTTTTATACTCAACTACTTGAATTTTAATGTTCCCTTTTCTTCTTTTCCATCCATTCCTTCATCCCACTACTTTAGGGTTTCAGCGGTCTTGATGGTGCTAAAGGTGATGCTGGTCCAGCTGGCCCCAAGGTGAGTGTCCACTTTTAAGTATGTGCCCCCTTCCGTTTATACCTAATTCTATCCTCTCATGTTTCAGCAACAGGGTGTTGACGTCTGCTCTGTTTCCTCTTTCAGGGCGAGCCTGGTAGCCCTGGTGAGAATGGTGCTCCTGGACAAGTTGTGAGTATCATTATTCTTCTGCCCTTTGCTTTGATGGGTAGACAATCTTTCCAAATCTTACAAGCATAGGCAGGGTATTAGCAGAAATTGATTTGTTCAGGTGAAAGGATGATGATGATGAAAGGAAAATGCCTAGTAACCAAAAGGGGGGAAGTAAGAGGACTTACTCGTTGGGAGAGTGCATGCTTTGTGTCCCTGAATGTCCCAGGATCAATCCCTAGCCTCTTAAAAGGAACAAGGAACAGATGATGGGCAAAAGCTCTGTCTGTGATCCTCAGGAGCCTCTTGCAATCCCATAGACAATGTTGAGCTAGGTAGACCCATGGTCCGATTCAATATCAGGTATCTCTGTTTGGTTTCTGCCTACTGTGAACACACCTTACATCCTTTGTGTTCTGAGGATGGATTTGATTCATGCTTTGTGGAGAATCAAGTGGAAATAATTTGTCTGAAGGCGTCCAAGTTCAGTATGCTTCCTTTCATATGTTGTTCATGAAAACCCTTCAGGTGAACTAGTTCCATGTGATGGTTAACATGCAGTAACCCGAAAGGACAACACAATAGTTCCATCTGAGTATGGCAGTAGCAACCTACATGAGGGACAGGAGCGTTTTGAGATAAAAGAACACAACGAGAAAGATCCAGCGAGATGAAGCCTTATTTCATAGCAGGGTTGGGGAAACCGAGGTACCCTCCTGATGTGGTTGGATTCTAGCTCCCATCAGTCCCAGTCACCATGGCCATTTCGTCAGGAAGGGTGGGAAGTGTGGCTCGGCAACTTTTGGAGGGCTGTGAGTTCCTCACCTCTACTTTGCAGAGAACTATGTTGGTGTGAGATTTCAGACAGCAGGGCAGACGTCATGGGTGTTTGTAGCATCCGGGTGGCGAAAGCTGCAGAGCAAAGGCTCTTTTGCTTGGTCTAAAGGATTCCGCGGTGGCATTTATCATCCTTTTGCGTATAGTTGCAGCCAGATCCAGGAGAGCAATAGCACATCATGAGTCAGAGGGGATTGCATCAAGAAATGAGGGGGTAGATAAAAAAAAAAACAATTTTAAGCTGAGGGCACTTGAGAGGTATGAAGCAAAGACACGAAGAAGCAAGGCATGCTGGCATACACAAAGTCTTTGTTCTCACTTTATGGCTCCCTGGGGAATGAAGGAACCCCTTAACACCAGTAGAGGCATTAGAAATGGTAGATGCTAATGAATGGCTAATGAAAGGTTGGTGGATGGTAACAGGGCATGGATCAAAGCTACCTTCCCCTAAACTAAACTTGTTTCTCCTTATGCCTAGGGCCCACGTGGTCTTCCCGGTGAGAGAGGCCGCCCTGGACCTTCTGGCCCTGCTGTAAGTACACTGTTTTGTCTTGAGGGACATATTGTGGGGCTAGATGCAACTGGTACCAAGGCATCCTTGGTGTAGCATCCTCCAGGTCTGGTGTGGCCTGGAGAGGTGGCAGTAACTGAAACGCCTTCCTTCCCCTCTTGTTCACCACAGGGTGCTCGTGGTAATGATGGTTCCCCCGGTGCTGCTGGCCCCCCAGTAAGTATTCCTGCAACCTGCAGTTTCTTCTCTGCTCAAGTGGTGATTATTTTCCTGTGGAGAGGGTTTGTCCTGCCAGACAAACACTGGCCGTTGCCAGACTCCGTATCCTAAATGGGAATTTGCAGGACAACACTCTGTAATTAATGGGATGGAAGGCCTTGACTCTTGTTTCCCTTTCCCTGACATTTTAAATCACAGACCAAACCTCTGGCCATTGCTGGGGTGGAGTTGGCCAATGTTAAGAGCTTGCTAATTTGGGACTCTAAGGAAAATGCTATAATTGCCATTTCTTTCTTTCTTTCTTTCAGGGCCCCACTGGTCCAGCTGGTCCCCCTGGCTTCCCTGGTGCCGCTGGCCCTAAGGTAAAGACACCGGACGACACTGATGCTCAGAAGCAATTGTTTTGTATCAGGAACATCAAAAATTGTTGGGTTTAGACTCTATCAATATCTCAGGTGCCAGTTCTCATGCAAGCCAACATTGCACCATCAGTGCATAAGAGGGAGGTATCTGGAGAATCCCAGTGTTTGCAGGTGTACAAAAATATTTAGGGGGGAATTCTTATAGGTAAAAATTAAAAAAAATTAAAATACCAACCAATAATGACTGTGCAGACTCGGCACAGAATGCTAACAAACTGTTGGAGTGTGAAGAACTGAAATCTGGGCAGGTGATGAAGTAGAATGGAGTATCTGGAATTGTGGACAGACTGCAACATTTTGTTTGCAGATCCCACTGGTCTTCTTGATTTCTCAGTCTATTGTTAATAATAATAATAATATTTTTAAAAGGGGGGAGGGGAGAGACAGTCTTCCACTTCCCCTTCTTAGATGAAAAGCTCTGTAGCACCAGCTCTAGATGAACTATTTCTTACCAAACCAGCTACAAGCACCTTAGTCTTCTGTGGGAAAGATCACAGGCTATTTCTGAAAAGCCATGGCCCTCATAATGTTTGAAAGGCCCTCCTCCCTCTGAGTCTCTGTATTCTGTCTAGAAGGCTGAGAATCCCTTATAGCTCTTCATTCAAGAATGGAGGTTGACACATCTACATGGGCCCAGTTCTTAAATTCCATGAGTGTCAGCTTTTCATCCTACCCAGCAATGTCTGAAGCTTAGAGGCTACTTGAGAGGTGCTCGCAATGTTGCTTCCCGTTCCAGCGTCTCTTTCACACACAACAAGCAATGTTGGTCTGGGAAGGAAGCCACCGCATTGCTCAACCTCCAGAGTGGCCTATAGGGTTCAGGTGTTCCCAGAGCAGCAAGATGGAAGTCTGTAAAGGACTGGTGACTGCCAAGTTCCTGCAGCATAAGCACTTAGTGGTAGACCCCAAAGAAGCTGTAGCAACAGCCCGCCTCAAAAGGACCAAGTAGTGTTCTTCAGGTGGCAGGCCTCAAACCTCTTGATTTCTGAGGGACAGGGTGGCAAAGGGAGGCCTGGGGCATTGTAGTACTGATCCAACGAGACAAAACTGTGAAGCTTCAGAAGGGCTGGGTGTGGGATGGTGTAGTTTGACAGGGAGACACTGCCACCATACCTGTGGAAGAGTGCTTATGTCCCTTGTTCTTCTTTCTCTTATTGCACAGGGTGAAACCGGTCCCCAAGGTGCTCGTGGTAGTGAAGGCCCACAAGGTGCTCGTGGTGAACCTGGTCCCGCTGGTCCCGCTGGCGCTGCTGGTCCTTCTGTAAGCTGCGCTACTGGCCGATTTTTGGCTTTTGTCGAATGCGCTTCGGGACTTTCTAAGGAGCATCATCATAATGACTCTTCTCTCCTCCTTCTCCTCTGCTTTAGGGCAACCCCGGTTCTGATGGTCAACCTGGTGCCAAAGGTGCAACTGTAAGTACCCTCCCATCGCTTTTCTTGTCTTCTCCAATGCCTTCCTTTCCCAGTTGCTTCACCAGTGTTGCTCTTTTCTCCTAGGGTGCTCCTGGAGCTTCTGGCGCCCCCGGCTTCCCCGGTCCTCGTGGCCCAGCTGGACCTCAGGGTCCCAGCGGCGCTCCTGGTCCCAAGGGTAACAGCGTAAGTCTCACCTGATCTCCCCTCACCTTTTGGGTCGTCATTTAAGTTGTGCCTGCCTTCAGAGGTCTTTGAAGAAATTAGAAATAGAGGCATCTGGGTGGGTTATCCAGGAAACCCAGACTTCTTTAGCCTAACTGAGAGAACGCAAGGAGGAGCCTACCATCACATAATTAATTCAGGAAATACCGCCCTCTGCATATCCTCTCTGACTGTGCTTGTTTCTTAGTCTTTTTCAAGCCATGACCTCCAATACTACCAATAATATCAGCTCTCCTGCCTTGGCATCATATAATACACTGGGTTTTAAAATTCTGAAAATGACAGTATTCCAGAGCAGCTAGATTTGTGTAGCAGGTAGGATAAAGGTATCAAAATGGTAGGCGATGGTGTGCAAATCTCTTTTTTAAGGGTAGCAGTATCCAAGATTATTTAGCAGGGCGCTCCTTCTACCAAACCCCACTGTTAACTCTCATATGGTGGAGGTTTACATCAAGTTGCATGTTCAGGATTACATTCTCAAGTTCCCTTTCCTTGACCCTGCTTCCTATAAACCAGGCATGGCCAGACTTGGCGCTCCAGATGTTTTGGGACTACAACTCCCATCATCCCTAGCTAACAGGACCAGTGGTCAGGGATGATGGGAATTGTAGTCCCAAAACATCTGGAGGGCCAAGTTTGCTCTAAACTGTCCCTTCTATTCAGGGCCCAAGCCCATAATCACATGCATCAGCATCTTATCAAATCTCTTCCTCTGTGGATTGTCAGCCTGGATAGCTCAGCTGGTTGCATCATGGTGCTGATAACTCCAAGGCTTCAGGTTCGATCCCTGTACGGGACAACTGCATTGCAGGGGGTTGGACTAGATGATCCTCAGGGTCCCTTCCAACTCTGCAATTCTAAGTCTTGATAACAGATGCATGTCGAAAGCCATCTCAGAGAAGCCACATCCCCTTGTTCTCTCGTAGAAAAAAAGGATTCATTCTTGCCTTCCTTGTGCTGAACGAGATTTGTGATCATGTTGTTTTCTGTCTCTTCCTAATACGTTTAGGGTGAACCCGGCGCTCCCGGAAACAAAGGAGATACTGGCTCTAAAGGCGAACCCGTAAGTATTCCTCTCACCTGGGATGTATTTCTAAAATGGTGCATCTATTCTTGCTTCATTTTCACTTTTGTTAACGTTTGCCTCTCCTTCCTTTTATCTTCCAGGGCCCCGCTGGTGTCCAAGGCCCCCCTGGTCCACCTGGTGAGGAAGGCAAGAGAGGATCTCGTGGTGAGCCTGGACCCGCTGGCTTGCCTGGACCTGCTGGTGAACGTGTACGTACCAACGTTGTTCTCCATGTTACTGCTCTCCCGAACCAAAGCTAGTCTCTCCTGAACTGTGGGCAGCAAGATCACACCCTCTTAGCAAGCAGACTAATTTGTGCGCGGACCATGTATCTGTCTAACATACTCACAGTACATTATTAGATTAGTTAGGAATTGCTGGGTCAAATTACAAATGAAAGCAAAGCAGTCTGGAAAGGCAGCCTCGAGGAGCCTCTGTGAGTCAGAGGAGAGCTATTCTGCAGGGTAAAGCTGTTGCAAAAATAGAGTGCGCTGCAGCACTTCAAAGAAAACTGAATCTGCAGATACCTTGGCCACTTATTAGGAACTGCCTCTTAAGGTGTCTAAGATGTGAGCCCAATTGGTACGATGTGTTCACCGTGGAGTGTTTTAAACCCACGAGGAAGCACTGTCTAGGCCCAGAGGTGGGCAGAACATCGCTGTCCTTTTCACTTAACAGATCACTGCCTTAAGAATCATCCATGGCTGAATTTAGAAAAAGAAACACCGTCATTCTTTTCTGTTCTCAAGTTGAAATCCCAGGGCAGTCCCACGAGAATTGATTTCATACAGAGAAATAAAAAACAACTGAGACCTTTGAGGTCAAAAGACCGCCGCAATATAGCCAGGTCATCAGTTGTGTTTTGAACTTCAAACATTTGATCAAATCCAAACTTCCCTCTCACTTAGACAGTTTTCCTTGTTTACTTATGTTTCTTTGCTCCCTCTTATAATATGCCATCCGGTACTTTCGCTCGAGTTACCTGCAACTCTTTGCACACCTTTTCAGCCCCTGATCTCTATTTGTGGGTTGTGTCTTGCTGCTTTGAGATGGGGTTGGCAGGTGTGGGGTCCCGTCTTCAGCCTGGTCCCTAAACTAGGATTCTGAGATTCTTGAGATTATCCTGAATCTGAATTTACTTTCTTTGATCTGCATGTGATTCTGCCTTGTGGGATTTGTATTTTTGGTCCTTTCTGGCCAATCAATGTTTATTTTCCCTGCCCACTTTGATGGGAGAGCCCAGTGCTGTGTATATGACATTAACCTGTTCTCCTCCTTACCATTCGCAGGGTGCTCCCGGAAGCCGTGGTTTCCCCGGATCTGATGGCATTGCTGGTCCCAAGGTAGGTTCTAGTCTCACGCTGTCACTTTCCTTCTCTACAGAACAAAAGGTATAAAAATAATGGCCTCTCCATCCATTGGCATCCACTCCAATGGGCTGAGGTGGGAAGCCTCAGAGAAGGCTCTGGGAATGTGGGTCAAGGCAGAGACAGTTAAACCAGCAAGAGATGGAATGTTCTCTTAGTAGAAAGGAGCCTGGAGCAATCTTAAATGCTACTGGATATTATTTTATTTTTGCTAGCCGTTACCTACATTAGGAATAGTTAAAAGAGTTAAATGGGTGATGGAAAGAAAGTCTTCTTCTTTGGAACTCCCCTTAATCTCAGGTGGCCTGAGCAGATTTTCACAACGTTGAGAAACGGCACTCTGCACATGTTCTAATGCTATCAAAACATGACTAGTTCTCAATTTCTTTCATTTCTTTCCTGCCCTGCCAATGCTGATAGTAGGCCTAGTGAAAGTAAAAAACATCGAAAATAGCAATTTTCTTTTTTTAAAAAAAATTAAAAGTAAAGCTTCCAGCTCTAATTAACTTCATACCACTCCCATTTTAGAGGTGGATGCTGAATGGGAACTTGGCCAAGCTCCTGCTGAATAAGTTTGTGGCAGGCATGCGCCCAGATCTCTAAGATGGAAGTTTAATTGTCCAGCAAATATAGAAAGCTAAGGAGCTCCTTTGCACTGAGTGAATCTGCTCTCCACCTCCCTCCAAAACTCCCTGAAGGAGCTGGGTAGCCTTGTGGAAATTTATAGGGGCCAACAGGGGTTGCCTAATCATCTGAGAGCATCATACACCATCCCTTTTGAAGACACTGCAGCCTCATCCTCAAGCCCCCAGATGAATGATCATTGCTCCCAGCTCTTGCTTAACAACACCAGTTGCTTTCATGCCTTCCCACTCCTGCAGTCCCAGGGGCTTTCTTGAGCTTTTTTCTATTCTTTTTTTATAGACACCCGATCTTGTCTGGAAGCCAGCTTTGGTCCCACCCCCCCCCACCCCCCAATCCTTTGCCCTTCCCACCCCAGCAACATTTCATTATTATATATCACACTTTACCCCATTCTCACATTCTGGAATTCTCCAGCATAACCTCAAACCACTCACATATGCACATCTGGCTAAAGGAGAACCAGAGCCCCAGTAGTTATTGCTCATATTGGGGGGTTTGGGGGGCTTTTTTTATGGCTCATATCTTATTTTTTCTGTCCATGAAGATTAAGCCATCCACACAGAATCAGGCAGCCTGGTGTTGGTCTCCTTCCCTTGCTGTCCTCCTAGTGGTGCAGCAATAAAACTGCTAGCACACTTGCAAAGCTAAGCAGGGTCTGGTATGGTTTCAAACTGGAGGGGAAACCGCGTGTTCATTGCAAAGGGGTTGGACTAGATGGCCCTCGAGGTCTACAATTCTGTGAATCTTAGATTGAGCTCTGATATCACACAACAGCCTTCTGAACCAGAAGAAGATGAAACAATGTTGGCATTTACCTGCAGTGCTAAATGGGATAACTTGACTGCTTTTCCTCTTCCAGGGCCCACCTGGCGAGCGTGGCTCTCCCGGCCCTGCTGGCCCCAAAGGAAATACTGGCGAATCTGGACGCCCTGGTGAGCCTGGTCTCCCTGGAGCCAAGGTGAGTGAACTGCAAGAGATCTGGCAGAATTGCAAAGGCGATCTGGCCATACGCTTTCCTGTTAGGCCCTGGGCAGTGGGGAATGAGGTGCCTTCTGCCAGAAGCTCCCATGCCCTAGAGAGGAAAAACAAACTGTTAGGAAATCACAAGCTCCCCTTGTTGTTATAGTAATTGCACCTAGAAAATAACAATAGGGCTTTGAAGTATGCAAAGGACTTTGCACTCCCTGTCACATCCATCCTAACAACTTGGTAAGGGGCAGAGGCAGATTTCGGGCAGCACGACGGGTTCTGCCGCACTGGGCGCTGAGCCTGGGGGCGTTGCGGAGTGTCGCAAATATGACATAGTGAATTGAGCAGAAAGGAAGGCGAGAGACAGGGGCGCCTAATTGTGGCCTTGCACAGGGCGCTGCTAAAATTTGAAAGACCACCCTGGCAAAGGAAAGTCTGCAATGGTCCCATTTTGCAGACGGGAAAATGAGGCTGAGAAATGCATAAGTGAATTGAAAGGAGGAAGACTTTTGGCAACAGGTTTTAGTGTCCTCTTTGGGCTGTTTTTTTACGGAAGAGCCATGGTGGGATAAGGGTAAGAATTTGCCCAGTTAGAATTAGGGTAATGGATGGCATCGTGGCACCTTGTAGCTCCCTATGTGATCCTTGATTGGTGAGGGTCATTTCTGGAAGGAGAAGAATCCCTTAAAGAAATAGCAGCAATGTGGGGAAGCAATAGCTGCAAACAGCACCATCAAAGTAAATGCAAGGAGTTTTTAGGGGGAAATTCAGCCTGCCTGAACACCCCATCTTTGCCAATAACATATCCAGAGGCAAACATTCAGTGCAACCCTAGAAAGAAGTGACTTGCCCAAGAGCACTAGAAAATGAAATACAGCACTGTAAATTGAACTAGGGGGCTTATTAGCCAAGCTGAAAAACCCTTCTTACTGGGTCACACAAGCTCTCAAATCCTTCCTTGCTCAGTGATTTGAACCCTGCCTTCTAGGCCCCACTTCAAGATGCAAAGGGGATCATTACTCCCATCTATCTAATGCATCGATCTACCACTTTCTCCCATGAGCTCAGGGCAACTTAGAACAAAATTAAAATCGGATTTTGAAAAAAACAAACATGCACCAGTTAATCTGAAATAAAACAAAACCAGAAGCAGGACTCGAACTGGAACTGATTTAAGAGAAACCAGCAATCCCTAGAATTCATTTGGAAACAAAACAAAAGTCTTCCCCTGCCCCCTTATGAAAAAAACACCAACTGCAAGGGACACATTGGATTTATTAGCTACTCAGATATGCTGTACAGCTGGAGACTATTTAAGGGAAGGGCAAGGGCAAACGGTTCCAGAAGGGGTTCGCAAAAGCTGTAAAGAAGCATTTAGGAGAACGGGGAATCGTTCACAAAAGAGATGCACAATAAGGGGTTCCTATGACAAACAGATGTTGTCAAAACAGGGGTTGTAGAGCATTTAGGAGTGACTGTGCTGAATGGGGTGGCAAAGACAGAGCAATCCTACCTTACCCTTTCTAGGTCACAAACCCTCTTTGTTATTGACCAAAGGATGTTTCCTAACTCTCCTTCCTTTTCCCTCCCACCTGTAGGGTCTGACTGGTAGCCCTGGAAGTCCTGGCCCCGATGGCAAGACTGGACCCACTGTGAGTAGCAACAGGATGGCATGCTTCATTTTTTTTACTTTGCTCAGAAAGGAATTGTTCTTTTAAAAACACACACACAAACTTACGGGCTTTTTTGCCTCCTAATAGGGCCCCGCTGGTCAAGATGGCCGCCCCGGACCTGCAGGTCCACCTGGTGCAAGAGGTCAAGCTGGTGTCATGGGATTCCCTGGACCTAAAGGCGCTGCTGTAAGTAACTGCTTCCTTTTCCTGAATCTCACACTCTCTTGGATGAAAATTCAAGGATGGCAAAATCCAGCTTTCTCCTCGCAGTGCCCAGTCTTTGCTTGAAGTTCAGCTTGCAAAGTTGCCATGAAAATGGCAGAACTTCATTTCAGGACTTCCTGAAATGGCTGCCTTCAAGTCTTTATGAAATAACGGCTGGCAGTGCCTGTAACTGCAAGCTCCTTCTAGCTGCCTTCCTTACGTTTTTGAGCAACTAGAGGGACAAAAAAACAACAACTTCTGGGTGTTTATAAAGACCAAAAATATTGGTCATTTCTGTTCTTGGTTTTGGTTCTGCATCTGCAGTTACTGCCATGGGGCATCAGCATGGTCTCATGGTTTAGATGGCTCCCTTTCCAGAACTGAATCTTCAGTTCTTGTATTGGACCTTAAAATTAAGCAGATCATTGCAGTGATTCTGTTCTGGGTATGTGGTAAAACAGTTGCAGTCCAAGGATTCAGTATGAGCAGTGGGCACACAAGACAAGTTATGGCTCCTTGTTCATTATGGTTTTGCAAAATAAAGCTACCCTTCAGCTAAAAATCATTCCCAAGAATGCAGCAACATGCAGGCGCTGTGGTTTCCCCATAAATGGTTGTATCCATTTGTGGTCCAAATTTCGAACACAGCATACACATACCCTGGATTTGACTCGTTCTAGTATGACCCAAAGAGTGCAATGAAGTCCCACTGCTACAAATATCTTCTTGCTCACTGCTTGTCAAGTTGTCAGTCCTGTCTCTGAAATGACCCCCTTTGTCCCCTTCTTTTTCTAGGGCGAACCTGGCAAACCTGGCGAGAGAGGTGCTCCTGGACCTACTGGTGCTGTTGTAAGTATTTTGCTTAATGCCCTCTGCAGTCAGGTTCAGATACAGCTATGCACCTGCACAGGGATTTTTAGATGAAAGCAAGAAATCTTGGGCACTTGTTCACTATAGCAAGCCCCGTCGCGGCAAGGAGATGGATTTGACACCAGGACACTATATAGATGTCAGGGGCTGGTCTGGATCAGAAGACTGGGGAATTCAAATGCAGGGAGATCAGTTCCCAACGGAAGAGGAGGGGGAATATTTGACCCTGCCTGCTTCCAGTGTTTCCAGAAGCAGAGAGACAGGTAGACACAGAAGCTGCACAGTTAGAGAGGAGCTACCCAGCTATGAGATAGTAGCTAAGCAACCGGAAGGGAGGGAGCGGCTGGATGATACATCAGTCGAGACAACACCCTCCCTCACTTCAAACTTTGAGGTCCGAGCGTGTCAGAAAACAAAGGAGACGTGGGGGGGGTACTTCCCTTTGGCACACTTCTTGCTGCGGAAGTGGGGAGGAGTCAGAGTAGGCAACTGATATCCTTGCAGAGGGTTGCCTGTTTGTGCTAGTAACAGAATGCTGCAATAAAAGGACTATCAATCTACCAAACGCTCATTAATTCTTATCGGTGAACCACCGGAAGGAAGAGGGGAACTCCCATACCTGACAATAGAACATAGAAGTGATCACAACCCTAGCTTTCAATCTATGTAACAGAGAAGGCTGAGAGCAGAGGGAGAGGTTGGGGACTGATACATTTGTCCTGGGCCTTTATCCCACGAGCCAGTCAGAGAGCAGTGGAGGAGCAGGCAAGGCGAAGCTCTGGGAAGGCTTTACTAAGGACAAAGATGCATTTCTGTGGAGAGTCACACAAAGAAGAGCAGCGCATAGACGTTAGAGGCTGCAAGTTTGACAGTGGTATAGGGCGACAAGGAAGTCAATGCAATGAATTCAGAAGATCTGGACACAGGAGTAGAAAAATGATGAAGTGCTTTCAATGTAGACTGTTCTCCAAAGAGTCCATCCAGATACTCTCATCTCTGCCTTTTTGATTCTCTTCTCCTCTGCAGGGTGCTCCTGGTAAAGATGGTGAAACTGGTGCCCAGGGACCCCCTGGCCCAAGTGTAAGTATGAATTCTTCCCTGATCCCGCTTTCCGTACCATTGATGGCTATTATAGGAAACCACTTTTTGAAGCCTACCAACCTTTGAACTTTCCTTTGCTTCTCATCCCAGGGCCCTGCTGGAGAAAGAGGCGAACAAGGTCCCGGTGGAGCTCCCGGATTCCAGGTAAAAAAAAAGCTTTCCATGAATAGAGGCACATACAGAACTGTGTGTGTATTTTCTGCCACAGCAAAACTCCAAATTTGGAAGCCGGCTGGATGGGGAAGAAACTTCAGGGATAGCAATAAACGATGCAAACATAGCGCATTTCTGCATTTTGCATGCTTAAACCTGCTCCTTCGCTTCAGTTTTCCAGATTTCTTTGCAAATTTTCTGGAAGGTGTGGGAGGCAACAGTATAATAGTTTGACAGGGACAACATGCAAATATGTTCTTCAAATCAAGGCTTTGAAGAAGAAGAAAGGAAAGCTGGGAAATTTAACTATGCAGAAACCATGACAACAGGCATCAATGCCTGTGCTTGTGCACACACACAAAATAATTGTGGGTGATCAAATTATAGGATAGATATAGCTAACCTCTTTGAAAAGCAAGATTTCAGTTCCTAATCTAACTCCTCCTCCCTCTCTGGTTTTCTCTTACAGGGTCTTCCCGGTCCTGCAGGTGCCCCTGGTGAATCTGGAAAGCCTGGTGAACAGGTAAGAAATGAGGCTGCACATAGAGAAATGTGAAGAAGAGACTACTGGGTTCGGAGATAGGTAGTTTAGGGTCTGATCTGAGCATGCTGGCTCTCCAGTAATCCTCGCTCCACATATAGATATGGCATTTGCATCTGCCTTCCTGAATACCTTCAGACAGAATGCAGTACTTACACCATACTATAGAAAGGCGTAAGGATACCTTGAGGAGAACCGGATGGTCAAGCTTCTCCCCACTTAGCTTTTTCTGCTTGGTTATTCACAATCTACATGTGCGCGCACACAGCAGGGTGAAGTTTCTCCTCCTTGGAATAGCTGGAGGGAATTTCAGCAGGCAAAGTTTGCTCCTTCCTTTCAGGACCATGAAGTTTAGAATCCCTTAGCTCGGGTGGCTTTCTTTAGTCCTTGCAAAAAAACAGGACAGTGCTTGTGCTGAATCTATCCGGTAGCCTTCTGAGAACCACATGCACCCTTTGCACTGAATGAATTGGAAGCTGTGCAATCACAGCAGAGTTCGTGCTATGCCTGCTTTTCATATGACGCTTTCCCCATATGACACTTCTCCCATGCTTCCAGTTGATTGGCCAACAATAAAAATCCAGAGCACATGCAAAGATGTATATAGGAGGGCGGGAAGTAAATATTTTCCTTTTGCATGGCCCAATGGCCATAGAAACTTCCCATATGGTAGATCTGTATCTCCCCCATGTCCTTCTCCTACTAGAGATAGGGTTGATTGCTTGGATTAAAACTGGGATTTCAGGCATTCAAAGCACTGTAGATACTTGATGCTTCTTGTTGCTCAAGGGGACGTTGTCTCAGCGAGGTGAAGAGATGCTGAAACGAGTGAAGTCCTTAGTTTAGGCCTAGTGGCTCTTTCAGTAAGCCATTGGATTGGACACAACTTGATGATTCAAAACGCACAGGGCTTTTTGATACCCAGGAGCCCGCAATTCATGCTAATATTCTGCGGCTGAAGTTGGCATTTTAAAAGAGCCCATCTTCAGATCCTGTCCGCTCATGTTTCCAATGTGCAGTTTTGGAGAAGCCGTCAAGGGAGGTTTACAATGCATACCTCCTGAATTGTCTCCTACCAGGCAGAAGAGAATATCTAGATGCTTCTCATCATGTTGTCCGCTTTCCTCCATGCTTTCATATGCTAGAGAGCCTGCCCACACTGCACAAATCCTGCCACTTCAGACTTGAGCTGTTCCTTCTAGAATTCCACAACTCAAAGGGACCATAAGTCCACATAGTCCTCAGCCGTGAAGCAGCAAAATTCACCCCCACTGCTGCACAGCGGGACCATCCATCAGCCCCATTTTGTATTACGTATGACACCTGGATGTCAAAGATTCATTAACCAATGTTTTTCTTCTTCTGATAGGGTGTCCCTGGTGACGTTGGTCCTCCTGGTCCCTCTGGTGCAAGAGTAAGTGAAGATCTTCTTCTCCATACTGGTCTTCCATATGTATTTTCATTGGTCCGCTGCTGTTTACTGTGATGCTGGAGTTCTAACCAGATCTCTTTCCCCCCTCTAGGGCGAGAGAGGTTTCCCCGGTGAACGTGGTGTCCAAGGCCCTCCAGGTCCTCAGGGTGCCCGTGGTTCTAATGGTGCTCCTGGTAACGATGGTGCTAAGGTAAGGGTGCATGATAGGATGTAGTCCATCGCTTATTATTATTCATGTCCTTTTTCTTCCTTGAAAATATCTTGCATGACAAATATAAAAATCTGTCTTGGATGCTTGGGATTTTTTTCAAATGGTCAGAGTTAGGTTTTGAGCCACGTAGGCAACTAAACATCTGTAAATCAAGAGGTGAAGGAAATAATCTATGCCTTCTGAAGCATCCCCTCACACCTCCTGTTTTCTCAACCAAGGTGATGTACAGTGCCCACCAGCTTAAGACAGAGTGGGAGCACCTGTAGTATTCGGGATCCTCTTATGAGCTTATGTATCTTAATAATAGTGCATCTCCACACACACACACACACACACACACACACACACACGTTATAAGGATATTGGGCAAATCAGGAGTAGAGGCCCACAGCTGAGCTGTTTCATTTCATCAGGGCTGAGCTAAGTTTTGGAATCCAACCAAGCATCTGCCATGAAGCAGAACCCAGCTTCCATTCTGCTACCTTATTACGTTAGCCAGACCATATGGGACAAGCTCTGGGACCTTCTTTCTCCCTTCAGCACCTAGAGGCACATTTCACTCCAAGCAAGGCAACTTCTGCACCCTAAAGCAAATAAGAAAGAAATGGATTTGCCTTGGCATGGGCATGTTCAGGAATCCTTAGTATCATCTACCCAATCCCTCTGAATCACTGCCTTCCTGGGTGCAACAAGGCTCTTCTTCCCTAGCATACAGACTGAAAATCTGAAAAATAAATAAATGTTGTTTTGCAAATGTGTATGAGACAGACAGACAGAATTCAAAAGGGATTAGGTGCTGCCATCTATGCTGGGCCTGATATCTTAGCTCTGTTTCTGATATGTGTTTGTTTGTTTGTTTGGCTCTGCTCCTCTAGGGTGATGCTGGTGCTCCTGGTGCCCCTGGAAACCAAGGTCCTGCTGGCCTTCAGGGTATGCCTGGCGAACGTGGTGCTGCTGGTCTGCCTGGTGCCAAGGGAGACAGAGTAAGTACCTGGTCCTTGGAAACAATGCCACCAAAATGGCAGCTCACTAACTTAACCGACCTATAAAGAAGGTGAACAAGCAAACAACAATGGCAACAGCCCCTTGACTCTTCCAAATATAACCCTCCAATTAGGAGGCTTTCCCAACTTCTCCTCGTATCTCTCTCCAGCCCACTTTCACGACGAACCACCATTACTGCAACTGCGCAGAGATAATCTTGACACAGATCCTCATGCCCACAAGTTCATATGAGGGTCATAGGGGGCTGGTGGATGGAAGACTTAATAAAAACAGGAGGTCACTTGCAAGGCTGTTGCTGTTTTGCTGGTGGGATTTACCTGCACGCCAACAAACTCAGGCTGTGCAGTTGAAGTGTGTTTGGTGTTGTTTGGCAACACACCCACTTCCCTCCAAAACAGGACTTTTAAGTGATAAAGAAAGTGATAGGGAAACCCACTGGGCTATTGACTGGCTTTGTAGCACACCGTTTCAATTGGGTGGGAAGTGTGTGGAAAAGTAACATCTGAAGTTGCCTTACACTGAGTCAGGGAATCGGTCCATCAAGCTCAGTACTCTGTCTATTTCAGCTGGCTACAGAGCTCCACCATATCTGGCTGAGATATTTCCCACTCCCAGAACATGGGATTTAAAAAAAAAAATATATTAATGAAAAAAAGGGGCCAGAAATCTAACCTAGGGCTTTCTCCATCCAAGCCTGTGATCTGCCCCCAGACCTTCCTCTACTTGAAGTAGACTGCTGGCAGAATCGTAATGTGGGAAATAAGGAACAGGAAGATAATATTAAATTCTGTTCTCTGGTATTTAGAAACTTCCCTCCTTAAAATATCCAGTGGGCAGGCGACTCTTTCCTTTTGTATGGCCAAAGCAAGAGGATGGTTGATGCAGCCCTCCAGATGGACTATAGCTGCCAGCATCCCTGACCATCATCCATGCTGGCTGGGGATGAATAGAAACTCAACATCTGGAGAGGCACAGTTTTCCCACCTCTAGCTTGCAGGCTTTTGCCTTCAGGGTTGGCCTAAGAGTTTGGAATGAAGGGCAGATCTCGGGGTGCTATCCATCACCTAGTCCTTCTTCCATCAGCTTCCTTGAGATAAATTCCCTCGTGCCAAACGCGGCTTGACATCCTAATGCAGATTCTGCTAGATGGTCAGATCTCTTTCAAGACCTTCAGATATGAGAGACACATTGTATCGTCAACAGAGAGTTCTTCCTCCCAGTTCTTGCACCAGCCTGTTCCTTTCGGTGCTTCATGGTCTGCTCTGTTTCTCCTTCCTCTTAGGGTGACACTGGTCCCAAAGGTGCTGATGGTGCTCCTGGCAAGGATGGACTTAGAGGATTGACCGGACCTATTGGCCCACCTGGACCTTCTGGTGCTCCTGGTGACAAGGCAAGTGCTCCACTGACTTTATGTACCTCTTTTCCAGAAAAAAGGTCTAGTGATCTCCAATTGTCAGATGTCTAGGTGCATTTTCTGGTGTTTTAACGAATTTGTGAATGAGCTGGGATCTATTTGGTGTCTTCCGACTTGGGCTTTGACGCCACTCCTTTGCAAAGCATGCAGTGGAGAAACAGAGGAAACTCTTTCCTGACCAGGTGTTCTGATGGCGTAGGGATGCAGAGATCCAACCTGGCCCTTTCTAGTCAGCTCAGCGTCCCCACCCTACATGCTGATGGCCAAAATAGGGCAGCCATGGGGACAGCCCCCTTTCCCAAGAAATTCTAAGTATGAGAATCTCAGCACTGTGTGCCCTTATTGGACCCTGATCCTAGGATTTTAGCCTATGATGACTGGCTTCATCTGAAGCCCTCAATCGCTATGAGGTCACCTGGGCTAGGCTGGGGCAGAGAGCAAGAGGCTAGTGGAATGTTGCTCTATATCGGAACCTTTCTAGCTCATGTCCACATGGAGCTGATTTGACAGGGGCTAGTTTGAAATTAAAACAGTGGCCAGCAACTAGATTCAGTGATAGGTCAATCTGGAGTGGAGCACTGGGGAGAAGAACTTAGCCCCTTCCTCCTCACCTTATTCACTTGATGCCACCTGGGCACCCATTGCTGGCTGAGGCTACAACCTCCACAACAGTTGGTTCTGCCTGTGGGAACGACACTGGATGAAAGTTGTTGGCTGTGGAAAGAACACATGGGGACAAAGGGCTTCTTTTTGCCTGCAGAATTGCATGGATGAGAGTGATGGGCCGACAGGTGATCATCTGCAGGTCACATTGTCTCACAGGCCACCCTGACTACACAGTTAAAGGATTTCCCCAGCTCAACCTGCTATATTATGTATACCATTTAGGGATGCTTTCAGGTCCTACGAATAGGCTAGGCTGAAAGGTATGGACATGAACAGCCTTCTAGTCTCCCCTCTCCAGCCACATACAATCCAAGCACCATTGATCTATCTAGCTTAGTATTGTTGACAGTGAGTGGCACCACCTCTCCAGGGTTTCAGGCAGGTATCAGGGATCAACCCTTTGGAGGACCTTTGCTTACAGAGGATTCACTCTACCACTGAGCTATGATCCTTCCCCATCCTTCCCCAATTTTGTTCTTCCAACTTGTCACTAATAAGCTTTCCCCCTCCTGTTTTCATACCATAAAACTCAATGGCTCTCTCTCTCTCTCTGCTAGATATGTAGGCAAACAGTTCATGTTTTTGAATTCACATGTTGAACTTAGGCGTCCATGCGAGGCAGTGGGAACATGATTAGAAAAAGAGGCATTTATCCAACCTGATGAGAGTAGCAAGGTATAAGAGAGGAACGTAACTAACCGGTAGGATTATGCAGCTTTAGATCACAGATTTGTAGAATTGGAAGAGGGACCACAAGGGTCATCTTGTGTTCAACCTTCTGCAATGCAGGAATCTTTCATCCAATGTGGGACTCAAACCTACAACCCTGAGATTAAGAGTCTCATGTTTGACTGACTGAGCTATGCATCCTGGGATTTTTTGGTGCTTTTTTCCTACTTGTGTTACAGTGCCTTTTGTGGTTCCTCCTGGTTCCCTGGAGCTTAACCTCATCTCTATTTCTTTTCTTCCTCAACCAGGGTGAAGCTGGTCCTGCTGGTCCTGCTGGTCCCACTGGTGCTCGTGGTGCTCCCGTAAGTACTTTCTTTTCCATCCTTGAAACACAGAATTGTAGAGTTGGAAGGTACCCCAAGGGTTATCTAGTCCAACCCCCCTGCAACACAGGGATCTCATTCTTATCACCTTCTCTTGTCCTTTGGCCCTTCCTCTCATCACCACTGACCAAATGCATTTGTCTCTTTTTCCTCCCCAGGGAGATCGTGGTGAGCCTGGCCCTGCCGGACCCGCTGGATTTGCCGGCCCCCCTGTGAGTATGATGACAAGTGTTCAGTTCTCATCAAACTGTTGATTCGTTGCATGTTGGGTGTCAGGTGCAGAGTGGACAACCCTTCCGTGTTGGTGGACATTGTGGCAAACAAGCGACAACAGTTGACAGGCAAGGTTGGCAACCAGAAGCACCTGTAGATTGTTATCAAGTGATCTCTGGTAGGAGAAAGTGATACGTTCCAGGCATTGCACTCATAAAGTAAACAAAATAGTCCAAATTTGGGGTATATTCATAGAATCATAGAACTGTAGAGCTGGAGGGATCCTAAGGTTCATCTAGTCCAACTCTCCCTGCAATGCAGGGATCTCAGCTAAAGCATCTATGACAGACGGCCATCCAACCTCTGCGTATAAATCTCCAAGGAAGGAGAGTCCACCACCTTCCCAGGGAGACCTTTCCACTGTAGAACAACTCTTACTGTCAGGTCTTTGCTGATGTTTAGTTGGAATCTCCTCTCTTGTAACTTGAAGCCATTGATTCAAGTCCTACCCTTCAAAGCAGGATAAAACAAGCTTCCTCCATCTTCCACGTGATAGCCCTTGAGATATTTGAAGATGGCTATCATACCTTCTCTCAGTCTCCTCTTTCCCAGGCTAAACATGCACAGTTCCTTCAACTGTTCCTCATAAGGCTTGGAAGAACAATTCAGTTCTCCCTTACCTTCCTCCTAACTACAGCAATCAAGCCGGCGTTAATTAGTGCACTGTTGGGGTGGCAAATTCAACCCAGCAGTGCCTTTTTCAGTGCCTTTTACCACTTTCATTGCCACCTTGAGGTCCTTTGGAGAACAAGGTAGGGTACGATTAAAATAAATAAAATAGGAGCCCAGAGAGCAATCCTCCATGTCCTACGTGAATCCATTTTAGGAGTATTTTCCAGAACTGGGTGAACTTGAGTGTAGAGCCACTAAAAATAACTGGCTCAGTCAAGACAGTAAATCACAAGTAGATTTGGCTTCCATGCTGTTTCTTGACGACATATGGATCTGCCAATTGCTTTGCAAGTGCTCATCCTCTTTGTCTTCCCAACAAATCCCCAGAGGTTGATTAAACTGAGAGAAAGGTGATGCTTGAACCCAAAGCTGAGGAGTGGGCATTTGAACCTGGATTTCCCCATGTCCCAAGCTGAACTGCAACCGGGTTGACTCCACTATGTAACTGAGAGAGACTGGGAACTGAATCTCCCAAACCTGATTAAGAAACCCCCTCTCCATTTGCACCCTCCCCGTTCCAGGTTGAGCAAACCTTGCTTCTCATGCTGCCTCTTCCAGTTTGATTCACACCTGGTGGGTTATCAGAAGCAACGTGGTCCAACCTCCTCTGGCACAATGAGATCATTTAGTCAGATGTACTTGGACGATGCAGAGAAAGATCCATTAATATCTTCCATCTTAAGTAGATACGTCTTTCCTTTTCCATCCTTCTGTAACTCACCACCACCTGCTCTGCTCTTATCTCCACAGGGTACTGATGGACAACCTGGTGCTAAAGGTGAACAAGGTGATGCTGGTGCTAAAGGCGATGCTGGTCCTCCCGGACCTGCTGGTGCCACTGGACCTCCCGGACCCGCTGTAAGTGACCCTCTTGTTGCAGCCCAATCTCTTTTGTGAACCCATCACCTTCCATCAGCCTTTGGCTTAACGCTGTCTCCCTCTCACCTGTTGCAGGGTGCTGTTGGTGCTCCTGGACCCAAAGGTGCTCGTGGAAGTGCAGGACCCCCTGTGAGTACCTTCTTCTTCTGCATTCTTAAGCTGGGTGCAAGTCAAAAATGCATTCATGTTCGAAACCCAGAGTTTTCACATCCTAAGGAAATCGCTCCCAGTTCATCACCCTAGGACATTTAAAGCAGACCATGGGTTAGAAAACTAATACAGCTCTCCACTGCAGCAGTGGGTTGCAGAAATGAACCACAGAAGGGATCGTGCAACCTCTGCCCAGAAAGATCACGGTCTATGTGAGGTGGGCAAGACAGGGCTCTTTAGCACCTGATCCAACATAGTTAATTGGTATTCACAGCAGACCAGCTACGCCGTGGTGAGAAAAAGTCTCTGTGTATGTTCAGAGGCTCTCACTAGCTAGCCTAAACTCATCTAACACACAAGAAGGGGGTGGGGGAATCACATTCCAGAGCTTGCCACTGGCAGGTTTTAGGCTGAAATTAAGCCTGAGCTGATTGCAATGCAATTAACCTCGATCACGTCATCCAAACTGGTTTAGCTGCATGATGTGTGAGGATCTCTAGCTGGTAGAAACAAATAATAAAATAAAATTGGCACCCTTTTTCTGCATACCCGGAAACAGTAGTAACAAGATGCTAGAAGAGCTGAGATTATCATTATCTTTCTGTGGCAAGGAGCTTTGGCATTGCAAAGAGGTTGCCGAAAATTAAGACGAAATCCATTGCAGGATCCTACTGAGTGGGGAATCTGTGTTAGAATCACACGTACAGCTCCTGCTTGGTATGGGAGGAGTTATTGAAAAGGAACCTTCTCTTCTGTTCCTTTCATAGGGTGCTACTGGATTCCCCGGAGCTGCTGGAAGAGTCGGACCCCCTGGCCCATCTGTAAGTACCCAACCACAAAACACACACATGCCAGCATTGTGGGCAACAATTTAGAAAGCTGTTACACAACCCCCAGGTGGCTGGTGGTGGGAGAGGATGCTCAGTAGGAAGTCCCTTAGAGCCTACATTAGAGGACCTACAAAGATATATGTTGACTCTCTCGGCAGCAGAGAGGATGGGGAAAGAGGGCCATAAGGTAGAAAAGATACAGATTGAGAATAGTGCTGAATCAATTCATATCTAAATATAAACAATGGTTTTAGTCCGAACCAGAAGCATTCCTTATAGAATCATAGAATTGGAAAAGTTGGAAGGGACCACAAGAGTGATCTAGTCCAACCCCCTTCAAGTAGTCTTTGTACATCCACTTTTATTTTTATATTCCCAAGTTTGCAAACTGGATATCCAGCCCCCCCCCCAATTTTTAGCCCCATCCCCCCACAATAAAAAAAATCCAGCCTTCAGACACAGCAGAAATTATTGGGCCTTATGGATTATCATGGCACACAAGAATCTCTAGGTATGTTTATACCACTATCTTAATGGCCATTCCTTCTTCGTGGAATTGCAGCTGGGGAGGAGAGGCCAAGGGTCTTTTAGCATTAAGTTCTCAGCATCCTCGCCGAAACTGCAGTACACAGGATTTGCTGGAGCAAACCAAAGCATTTAAATGACGCTGTCACATAAGCACGGGCAGGCTTTTCGTTTCAGTTTGCTCTACTTGGAGCTGCACCTGATTGCGAAATGCAGTGGCCCAAGCTTTTGGCTGTCTCTAGGAACATACAATTGAATGCAAAAACTAGCTGATGGGATGGAAACTCCTTCTCATTCTCAGTGACCCACTAGAACCTCACTGGGGTGGGGTGGGGGTCCTTCCTCAAAGATGCTTCATTTGGGGGCCACTGTTCCCAAACTCAACACATGGCCTGTGAGTGTCACTGATTTTCTTGTCCTCTTTTCTTTCCCCCAAAGGGTAACACCGGCCTTCCCGGCCCCCCAGGCCCTGGTGGAAAGGAAGGTGCCAAAGGACCCCGTGGTGAGACTGGACCTGCTGGACGCCCTGGTGAAGCTGGACCTGCTGGCCCACCCGGACCTCCCGGCGAGAAGGGCTCTCCTGGTTCCGATGGACCTGCTGTAAGTAAATGCCACCTCTTACCTTTCATTCCTCTTGAACGGGGTTGCTCAAGCCAAACTTGGGCCCTCCTCCATGGGGTTATCTCCCTGTCGCAACATCTGGCTCCCTGATGGCAGCCCAGCTGCCATGTTAACGATTTCTCTGCCTTAAATTGGCTTTGGAATTCCCCACTGCTTGTGCAGATCTTTACGGCTGCACCTCTTTAGTGGCGATGTTCTAGTGAGCATCGTTGAAATGCCACATAATGGCTGCCTACATTATAGACCAGATCCATTTGTTCAGATTGTTGCTTGCCAAGTGTTTGGGTTTTTTTAATGTGGGATGTGTTTCAGTAGAAAAGGTGGTCCTTGCCATGTGTGGTCACACTTTGCTTAAAGAGAGCCTGAAGAAAAATCCCCTAGCCAGCCAAGATACAACAAGGTGTGGGTTACTTTAGGCAAGGGTAGAAAGCCTCATGGGCATTACTCACAACGTAAAGTGGAGTCGGGACATCCAACAGTTCTTCTCCTTCAAGCAAGCCCACCTTGTTCTTATTTCCCAGCCTGTCTGGGGTCTTCTTTCTTCTTTGGCGATCACTTGTAGATGTGTAAGATTGTCTTCCATAAACATGGTTTTACCAGTGTGTCCATAAGTGACCGTGGAGGCCAATTCTGGATCCACACATCCTTCCACAGTGTCTGGGTTATGCCCAGCTCGCCTCCAACCCTTCTGCAGTGCAGCATAATGCTGGCAAAAATGAAATGTGTTTTTCTAGCCAGGATCTTCTCTGTCGACATCTCATGCTCATGTCCGCTTTCCTCCTGTAGGGCGCACCTGGTACTCCTGGCCCACAAGGTATTGCTGGGCAGCGTGGTGTGGTTGGTCTTCCTGGACAAAGAGGCGAGAGAGGTTTCCCTGGTCTTCCCGGGCCATCTGTGAGTGCTCCCCTTCAGCTCTTCTCTGACTACTCTGCGCAGAAAGTCTGGGTTCAGTTTCCTTCTGGGGCTGGTGTTTGTGGGCTGGGGAACAGCGAGGAAATTTTTATTTGAGGGGGAATGTTTCTTAAGTGGACTCAGCCACATAGAAGGCTGAAAACGCAAGGATACATAAAAGCAAAATAGACACACACACCCCGAGTCTAACTGGAATATATGACCCAAGTATATCCAGCGCCCGCAATTAGAAGTTTATCAATTGGCAAAGCACTCAATTGCATCAACTCTGAAGGTGCAAGAATCTAGCTAGCTGAACAGGTCCTCCTACAGACCTGTAGTCTGTCCCAGCAGTTGTACCATGCCTCCTCCAGCCCCCACCTCGGGACATGGTGCATGCAAGCAACCAGTGACTTTTCCTGGGTGTTATGTTCGGCTGCTCCTGTCCCTTTAAGCCCCTCCTCATCCTTGGAGACAGTGCAGGAGGGGACAGAGGAGATTTGATTCCCTGCAGCTGTTCCCCTGTCTCTGACTGCCCAGCCTCTTCCTTTCCCCGCTGCCTCACTGGTGGCACAGAACGTCGCAAATAACTGGCCCTTCCCCCTGGATCATTCTCCTGCCCTGCTGCCTCCTCTGCCCGTCCCTTCAGACTCCTGCCTCTCCCGGACAATATACTTCAGTGTCTGATGACTCAGCCTGAAGTCTATGCTTGGCATACGAGGCCCAAAGAACAGGAGGGAACACAGCAAAGTTTCAATTTGAGTTGCTTGTTCAGGTTTAGTCTTCAGCTAAACACATTTATATGGAAGTCAGTATCAGCGGTAGATCTGCAGATATGAGGGATTTGGATCACAGCTCGGGTCTCAAAACAAGGCTTGTTTTCATCCTTGTCCTGCTCTTTGTTCCTGCTCCTAATATCATGCATAATAACTATGGGCTCTGTCGTCGTTTTCCTTAGTGGCAGTAAGAGTGTGCATTAACCCAGATAATCGCTTTTGTTTCCTCCAAGACCAAGAATGAAAATAAAATAAAAGGTCAATACCATTATCCTGTAGAAACAGAGCAACATGTTTTCTATATTGCATCTATGGGACTCACCCACACTTACCTTTTGCACCGGGCTTTCTTAGGCACAAGTCCTGCACTTTAAAGCTCTGTATTCCCCAGGAAAACCTGCTCTTTAAAGCTGAATCGGAACAAACAGCAATTCAGGTTTTCTGCAGATTGCCGTTTGCTCCAATTCAGCAGTTCGGAGTGGGGTTTTGCAGGGAAAGCGCAAGGACAACAATAACAAAATGCTCTAACACAGAGATTTGAAATGTGGACCTGTGCCTAGAAACATGGCCCAAAAGGAAGTCTGGATGAGCTAAGACAAAGCACTGTTTATTGTTTTAGCTTGCTCACAAATACCTGCACAGCCCCTGGCTGAATTGCTGAAAAGTGAAGGCTAAACCCTGGAATTCAGTTCCAAATCTTCCCTACCCCATCAAAAAGACTTATAATTCAACCATAAGTTCTGTGAATTGTCAAAAGTAAGAAACATTTCTAGGGGATCCTGTTGATCATATTAAATGTAAGCTCTGAGACAGGACGTCCTGAAAGATGTAGTAACATTCATCTGTTCAGGTTTTTAATCTGAGCATCTTGCTAGGCCTTTAAAATGCATTTGACAGATTTTCTGTGTTTTAAGGGCAGGTGTATTTTTTTGAGGAGTGCAACTGTTTCTTAGAAGCAGCTCACAAATTCTGTTTTAAAAGAACCATCCACAGCTCCCCTGAACAGAAAAAAACCACAGTTGTGTGTACTGGAAATGAAAAGAATTCTGGGGGAAAGTTCTCAAGCAAGTTTTTCTAGCTCAAACTTGTTTTCAAATCTTGTCTCTGTCCTCTCTTAATGAGGATTTGTCTCACAGCCTAGACTGCTAAAGGTGTGTTGGATTAAGAGGTATAGGATAGGGGACAAGGTGGGGAGGAGTTAAAATATTGAATTTGGTCAGTTATAACTTAATATCGTTGCCTTAAGGAAGAGATGAATCTTTGGTTTTGCAAAGTGTTTTTATAAATCTCAGTTTTCAAAGCTGAAACAGATTCAATTTGTAAAATGTAAAATGCAATTCTGGTTTGAAAAAACTTCCTGGATTCTCAATACCAGGAAGTAAGCAAGCTTTCATAAATAGAACAGTGCTCTGGGTTCTGCAGTATCTAGAAAAGTGATGTCAACCTTACAAAACAAAACTCAATAGAAATAGACTAGCCCATGCTTTATACAACAGATGCTTCCCCGGTTCTGAAATGCAGAGCTATATATTTCAAGTGATATAGAACCCAATTGAAAAGATAACCTTCCCTGGCTCCATCCCATAACCCATGCTGCATTGAAAGTTCTACTTTAGTGCTTTCTGAGATCCCAGGGAACAGAATTCAAACTCTGCCTAGACTAGGCTCCTTGTTTTGCTCTTTTTAACTGTAGTTAACCGTGGTAAAGCATGATGTGTGAATGCGATTCCTCTCCTGCTGTCTTCCTCCTGCCTCCTTCTGTATCTCAACAACTGGATTCTTTTTGTTCTAACTGGGACTGATCTCCACAGGGCGAGCCTGGCAAACAAGGCCCATCTGGTCCTTCTGGTGAACGCGGTCCTCCCGGCCCAATGGGACCACCTGGCTTGGCCGGACCCCCTGGTGAATCTGGACGTGAGGCAAGTCTTCCCATTTCCACGGGAGCTCCGGACTCCTAAACTTGTTCACCTTTCTCTGTCAGACCCATCTCTTACCAGTGATCAGAAATATGGTCCAAGCCAAAATGTGCAGTCGGTGGTAAAATGCAGGTGCAGAATGCCTTGGCATCCCCAGCTAAAATAAGCTTTGATAAGGACCTCTATCTGGAGCCTTGGAAAGTAAGGCAATACTGGGCTAAATAGACCAACGGTCTGGCTCAGAGCAGTGTAGCTTCGTGAGAGACCATGATCAGGGTCATGCTTTACTTGCAGAAGACCCCATGTTTGTTCCTTAGCATCTCCTGTTAAAAAGGTATTCAAGCAGGCTGCTGCCTGAGATGAGACCTTGGAGATATGGTACCCATTTTTTTTGTCCTTACAGAGGATAGACAACACTGCTAGATAGACCAGTAGTCCTCCTCAGTTAATAATAATAATAATAATAATAATAATAATAATAATAATAATAATTTGTTATTTATACCCCGCCCATTTGGCTGGGTTTCCCCAGCCACTCTGGGCAGCTTCCAACAAAATATTAAAATACAGTAATGCATCAAACATTAAAAGCTTCCCTAAACAGGGCTGCCTTCAAATGTCGTCTAAAAGTCTGGTAGTTGTTGTTCTCTTTGACATCTGGTGGGAGGGCGTTCCACAGGGCGGGTGCCACTACCGAAAAGGCTCTCTGCCTGGTTCCCTGTAACTTGGCTTCTCACAGTGAGGGAACCGCCAGAAGGCCCTCAGCGCTGGACCTCAGTGTCCGGGTAGAATGACACATGGCAACTTCATATGTCTGTAAATCCTTACTAGTAGATGTGCATTGAATGATATAGTTCAGTTACAGAGCTGAATAGTTTTAACTCAGTTCTAGATCTCCCATTGGTAGCTAGAGAGTTCTAGAGCTTCGCCGCCGCCGCGATATCAGTCTCACCATCTTTCTTCTTGGCTGACAGGGCTCTCCTGGTGCAGAAGGTGCTCCCGGTCGCGATGGTGCTGCTGGTCCCAAGGTGAGTTGAACATGCATGTGTGTATGCAGCAGGTGTCCAGAACGGGCCGGTGTCGCAAGACCTGGGTCCGATAACTCTGCAAAACGAAAGACTTGATTTCACAAATGCACACCGATTCTGAGCTTTGATCGCCTCTTCTTGCCTTTCCCTTTCCCAAACAGGGTGATCGTGGTGAGACCGGCCCAGCTGGTGCCCCTGGCGCTCCCGGTGCCCCCGGTGCCCCTGGCCCAGTTGGCCCTGCTGGCAAGAATGGCGACCGTGGTGAGACTGTAAGTGGCGCTTCCTTTCCTTCTGCTACAACACAAAATGCGGTGGGCGGGAGTTTTCAGAATCCTTCATTTTTCCAAATCCCACTAGGCCACATATATGCAAACCAGCTTATTCCAGATCAGTGGATCTGAAATAATGTCAGTCATTCACAACTTTCCGTTTTCACGGTCAGTAAAGATGCAGGCCAGATGGGTATCCGTTTGCAGATGAGGTAGGCATACCCTCCACACCCAGCTTCAGGATCTTACATATTTCAGGAGCGTGCCTTCGTACCTAATTAACGTGGAACGCATGCCACTTCTGGTCCTGTGCTCACATTCGCTTAAAGGGGCTCTCTTTCACACTGCTTTAATTAACTTGGATTGGCATCCACCTATGGCTCCTCATTTGTTAGTTCGAAATAATTACTCGAGCCATATGAGAGCGCCGTGGGGGAACCTCTTCCATTACGCTCTCCCCAACCTTATTGCAACTCTGCCAGAGGATTAATGAGGTCACTCGTTTGTGATCTTAACCTGTTCCGATTCCACTCTCCAAGCAGGGGGGTGGCAGAACCCAGCGAGCAATATCTTCCACTCAGATCCTATGGAACATCCCAGGATCTCGCTACCAAATCCAGAAATAGACAACTCCCAGATTTATTTGTTGGCGTGCTTATATCCTGCCTTTTTCGTCTTTGGAACTCGAGGCAGTCTGTGTGGGGGTTCCCAGGTGGTCCCCTGTGTGAATCCTGAGCAGACCTAAATTTGCTTAGTTTCAGCAAGGTGGATGCAGCCATCTGGTGGCCATATATGCCCACCTACACATCCTAAACATCAGGCTGGCTGCTATAGTGAAAACACTTTACAACTAACAATCCAACAAACAGATAGACTGATAGATGGACAAACTCTACAGACAGACTCGGGCTCTTGCTGCTGTGATTGCCCTCCCTTCCAAGGACTGGGCTCCTAAAGGAATAAGTTGCATGCTCAATTACATGCGGAATTTTAAAAGCGATGATATGTACCTTTTCTCCTTTTCTCTTTCCCTCTAGGGTCCCGCTGGCCCTGCTGGCCCCGCTGGCCCTGCTGGTGCTCGTGGTCCTGCAGTAAGTTTGGGCTTTGAAATGTCCTCTCTCTTTCTTTTCATAAAATCATAGAATTGGAAGGGGTCGCAAGGGTCATCTAGTCCACCCCCCTGCAATGCAGGAATCTTTTGCCCTGGCATGGGATTCGAACCCATGAGCCTGAGAGTAAGAATCTCGTGCTCTACCAGCTGAGCTATGTTATACTGGTAGAATATATCATATGCTATTCAATAAGGCTGAATGGATATACTTGGACACTTCCTGTCTGTATGATCTCTGCTACCTTTGCCTTATGGTTGAAATACAACTGGAAATAAGCACTCCAGGTTCATATCCCGAGTTACGCAGAGTGACTTGCTGATAGGCATTTCCTTCCTTTCTCCTTTGTGAAAGCCCAATAAGCCAATTTTTAAAAATTAAAATCTTGCTTTCCGTTTCTAGGGCCCACAAGGTGCTCGTGGTGACAAGGGTGAGACTGGCGAACAAGGTGACAGAGGAATGAAGGGTCACAGAGGATTCTCTGGTCTCCAGGGTCCTCCTGGCCCCCCTGTAAGTACCAGAAAGCTCTTTGCCATTTTTGATGTAGAGAAGCTCCAGATGTCACAGATCTCCAAACCCTCTGACATTTCTCAAATAGGGACGTCCTAAGCAAAACGGGATCAAATCAGAAACCGGGACGGCTTCTCTTAAGTCAGGGGCATCCCTGGAAAATAGGGACACCTGGAGGGTCTTGCTTTAAGGCTTTAGTCCTCATGAAGGAGAGAAATGTCCTCACACAAATTAGAGCCTTGCACCTCAGATCTAGAGAGCTAGAGCTTTCCTATCTCATTTCCATGGCTTAAGACGGTCTGGAAAAGAATGAAGGACAGACCGCTCTTTCAATAGCCACGATAACTTAAATTGAGCCTCCGCGTTCAGAGGAAACCTGCCTCCTTCCCCACCCTGTTTTCTGAACGCCCCAGAGGCCTCTGACCAGCCACTATTCAGAGACATGTGGATCTCAGTCTAATCATTTAATGAGCAAAAGCTACCGTCGCTTTCTGCAAGGAAATTCCACCTTTGGATACCTTTTCGATGAAACATCTAGTCGGGGGGCGGAGGAAAGAAAAGGGGGGAGCTTTGACATCTATTTGGCCTGTACAGCAGCAGGGCCTTGAAGGGTCCCCAAACCCCTCGCCCATTAATCGGCTTCTGTTTACAATTCCATCCAGATCTCCAGTTGCACCAACTTACTTAATCAAAACTTGTAATTCCAGTTTTCCAACTTTTGGAGACAGAGGGCAGGCTAACAAGCAACAATTTTGTTCCTTAATTTCTTCAGCTACCCATATGTATTTATTTTTTCTTCCCCTTACAGACGTCAGTTTTTTCACGCCATGCATTTTGCAAATAAGTGCTTGCCTGCGTTCATGCGCATCTCAATTTGTTCAACGCATTCCTCAGTCCAGAAAGGCTTTGAGCCTGCCATGTGGTTGAAAGCAGCAGTGGGCCTCAGCTGTCATTCGGTGTATAGTTGTTGTCACAGAGCAATGGCCAAGGCAGGCTTGGGCCTACCTTAGCAGCATAGAAATAAGAACTTTAAAGATGGAGGCCTTAGATTGCTAGGGCTTCCTTCGGGTCCCTCGTTAACGCAGCCCACTTAATTACACAGTGGCAAGATTGGAGAAGATGTATTTAGATCTCCACACACCCCAAAGCAATCTGCATTTGAAACACATTTCTTCCTGGTCCCAAATGTGAATACAGTATGCTACCCAGTAGTTGTGACGAGCATGGGCAAGATTTTAAAAATTGCCTATCCTTCATTCCACCCAAGACCTATAAATCTAATTGCTGAAAGGCTTCCATTTGAGATGTACCCAGTTTCCATTGTACTGAGTGAAACCTATTTTTTAAAAAATATTGGGTTGCCATATTTCAAAAAGTAAAAACCAGGACCCGCCCCCAAGCGATTTTTCTATTGATTTGCCTAAGATCCAGGACAAAGCTCTGCCTTTTGGAATTTCCTCCCTAACCTCAATTCCACCTTTGAAATCCCAGTAATGTCTGGGGAAATCCAGACATGTGGCAGCATAGATATCATTTTTATTTTTGTACTGAGTGAACCTATTGGTTCCCGTTGCCACTTGGAAGAGTAGATTGATGAAGGAACACATGTGAGATTGACATGGACAGAAGCTAGATTGATTCTTCCTCTCTGTTACTGAACAGGACTGCATTTTCTCCCATTTAAATAAACCTGTTTTCTCCCAGATTATCATCAAAACTGACAATTTTTTCTTTTGTGCAGGGCTCTCCTGGTGAACAAGGTCCCTCTGGTGCTTCTGGTCCTGCTGGTCCAAGAGTAAGTATGGATTGGTCTGTAAAGCACAGCATTTTAGCTATTAGCTATTATTGCTAGACTTCAGTCCTTCTATGCACCTGTTGTTGCTGCTGCTGCTGCATTCATGTTAACAACAAAAGCTTCACTCATGGTACATTTTTGTTCTGCCTTCCTGACAGGGTCCCCCTGGCTCTTCTGGTGCCGCTGGCAAAGACGGTCTGAATGGTCTTCCCGGCCCCATTGGCCCACCTGGTCCCCGTGGTCGCACTGGTGATGTTGGTCCTGCTGTACGTATTCCTTCTCGCTGTACAAAGCTCATAGTTAACAGCACAATGGGTGGATGAGATCTTTGCCTACCTACTCTTCTTGTTTTCCTTCTCCAGGGTCCTCCCGGACCTCCTGGACCACCTGGTCCCCCAGGCCCACCCAGCGGCGGCTTTGACTTCAGCTTCCTGCCCCAGCCTCCTCAGGAGAAAGCTCACGATGGTGGTCGCTACTACAGAGCTGACGATGCAAACGTGATGCGCGACCGTGACCTGGAAGTCGACACTACCCTCAAGAGCCTGTCCATGCAGATTGAGAACATCCGCAGCCCTGACGGAACCCGTAAGAACCCAGCCCGCACTTGCCGCGACCTGAAGATGTGCCACGGAGACTGGAAGAGTGGTGAGTACAGTCGGGGGGGGGGGGCAATTCTCAGGTGCATCTCTTAAATGCTACGAATTCTCCTTTTTTCTGGACCACATGCGTTGGCAGAATAGCTCTGCCCTGCTCTTTTCTTCCCCGTATATCAATCTTCTCACTTCCCCTCTCTTCTCTGCCACTGTTGACCTTTCTCTTTCACTTGGGGATTGTTTGCACAGCCAAGCATATAGTTGTTTTCTCAGGTCCGGGGCCAGGAATGGATTTTCCACCGGAGCTGACTGGGCAGTGATTTGGGTGCCTTTTCTTGCAGCCTCTTCCCTAAATAACGTTGTTGAGTCAAGCAGAACGATTAATTCTCCCAAGTAGCTTCTGTCTGCCGAATGTGACTTGCATTTACTTAGGTCCTAAAGGGTAAATTTCAATTTCGTTGTTCTGTATGGGACAATGACAATAAAGATTATTGTATCGTATCGTATCGTATCGTGAAGTGGGCCTTCTAAGTTGCTGTAGAGCTTCTAGCTCCAGCCCAAGCTCTTCTCTGGCCCCTCTCCCTTCTCCTACAAAAAAATATGCTTAGGAACCAGAATGTCATTACTTGTGTAGATAATTAATGCTGGGAAGTGATGGGGCAACCATCTATTTTTTATAATACACATCCACCTCCCCCTATTCCCTGGCTCTCTGAAGTCCCTCTCAGCCATACATAGGTAGTTCGCTTTTCTATTCTTTTGTTTTTAGCTGTTTGCCTCCTTGTCTTATATGGAGTAAGGCTTGGGCAGATATTTTCCTGACCCACTTGGGCAAGTCTGAGAACTCATTGCATGGGGGGTGGGATCTGTGAGATAGGAAGAAGCAGGAGGGGGCAAGTGGTTGGCCAGTCCCCTTTTAGATCGGGTTGACGTAAATTGATGTTTTGTTTTTCTCCTGTGATCCGTTCTCCATCAACCTCATTCACTTGACCCCATTCCTCACCAGGCGAGTACTGGATTGACCCCAACCAAGGCTGCAATCTGGATGCCATCAAGGTCTACTGTAACATGGAGACTGGAGAGACTTGTGTCCAAGCTTCTCAGCCCACCATCCCCCAGAAGAACTGGTACATCAGCAAGAACCCCAAGGAGAAGAAGCATGTCTGGTTCGGCGAAAGCATGTCCGATGGCTTCCAGGTGAGACCAGGAATCAGTGAGGCAGCGACAGTTAACCAGCAAGTGGCTTAGCTGGGACTGCCAATCCCGTATTCTGAGCTGGGACCGGAGAGAGTTACTTCAGGGTCATGTTTCCTCCAAGTCACCTGCTGAACTAGAATGGATATGAATTCCACATGAATTCCATGTGTGGAAAGAATGTCGCAGGCAGTAGAACCTGGTGACTGTTTGTTGTTTCAATGGAAGCTTTGGGACTGTTTAGCAAGAGGATGAAAAGATTGAGAATAGATAATCACCTTAATGCACAGGTAGGAGCTGCCTCAATGAGACTGAGAAATCCATGTCGACTTTCCATGTCTGCCATGAAATCTGCTCAGATTGTAACCAGAAAGATTAAGTTGTCCATTGAGAAAGGTCCTTTAGCTGTAAAAGGCGGAAGAGCCCTGGAATTGGTTGCCTAGGGAGGCCTGGGCATCATTGGGCTTTGTTGGAATGGCTTGATTCACAAGGCAGAACCTGGATGGTGGCTTGATGTCACTTCTAACCTTTATCCAAGGATGTTGAACACAACAGATGATAAATGGACAGGAGGAGGGTATTTATGTTGACCAAGGCACCTCGGAGTACAATTCCTGCTGCTTGCAGAAAGTTGGGCTTGATGGCTCCTTAAATCACTTCATGATACTTGGAAGCAAAAGGGAGAGGGAAAGACCATTGGTTAAAAGCAAGCATAGGCCAGTTTTCAAGTGATATATTACAGAGGTTCAGCTGGGCTCAAAGGTCCCTTGACTTAGCATGCTGGAGTAGTCTAGCTCAAAGAAGCTGTAGATGCTGCAACTTGGAAAAGCAGTCTGTCAAGAAGAATGTATACCTGTGGCCTCATCTATCTCTCTCTCTGCATCTCATTTGTTTCCAAGCTGGATTTGGGCTCCTTAAAGAGGGCAGCAGTCAGCTTATCTGGCTTTGCCCATTATTGCATTACTTCCTGCCTTGGCCCTCTGAGCATGAAGAGAAAGCAAAGAAGCTGGTTAGATTCCTAGATATAGCAGGGGGTGGGGTTCCTAGAAGACGCGACACGAGCGCTAACCAATTCCTTGCTCCCTCCTTCCCTCCATCTCCCATGGCAGTTCGAATATGGTGGTGAGGGATCCGACCCAGCTGACGTTTCCATTCAACTGACCTTCCTGCGGTTGATGTCCACTGAAGCTTCCCAGAACATCACCTACCACTGCAAGAACAGCGTGGCTTACATGAACGCAGAGACCGGCAACCTGCAGAACGCTCTGCTCCTCCAAGGCTCCAACGAGATCGAGATCAGAGCAGAGGGCAACAGCCGCTTCCTCTATGGAGTCCCCAAGGATGGTTGCACGGTGAGCGATTGGGTCTTTAGATGTCGCAATGAGGGGTGGGGGGTACAATAGATTCTCTCTCTCTCTCAGACTGGAGACCTTGTGCATAAGCTGCAGTGTTTTACTCGCAGCTGGCAGGGGTGTTCCCCCTCTGTACCTCCTGCTAAAACCATGCTTTGCAACTGGGAGACAATCCATATAAAAACAAACGCCATATGTAAGAATGGCCAGAGGCAGGGGGAAATAGGGGTAGGCAGGTCTGGCTGAGGAAGTCAGGACTGCAGGTTGACATCTCGGTGCTGTGATTCCTATCTGTGTTTGGAAACACATACACTGGGTGCTTTTCAGTGCTGAAGCATGGCAGATGAGGGATGGAATATCCCTATTCAGCAGCAGAACCCTCTGAAAGATCTCAGGACGGGGAAACCGTGGCCCGCCAGAAGTTTGTCGGACTTCAGTTCCCATCAGGTCCATAACCAGTGCTCAGGAGTGATGGGGGTTACAGTCCAATAATATCTGGAAGGCTGCAGTCTCCATACTGCTGCCATAATAAATCCTCAGAACCTGCAAAGATGTATCTCGCTTAGTATAGCAGTCCCTACTTGCTTGTGCTCTTGGCATCTGGATCAGGGACAGACTCTTGGACTGTTTCCCTTCGAAGGCACATCCTACTTTTTGAGCCAAAAGGCCTTCAAGGCAAAAGAGCGTCCAGGTGGCTGAGTCCAGAGTAGCTTAAATCCATCAGAAGTCAGTGATAGCTCAAGATCAGATGATGTGACTGCTCCCCCTGGCTATTCATGGTGGCTTCCTCTGGACTTAAGGACCTGGATTCTGGTCATGCAGAAGATAGACCATAACATATCCTCCAACTTCTATGTCGGTTCTGCCTCTTCTCTCACAGTGCCCTGAATCCCTGAAGTTCTAAATGCCAGAGTAATTATGTGTTCCAGTGGCACAATGGGATGGGCAGCCAGGGTGGGGAAGGGAGGAGCCAGCTTTTAGGAGCACAGCTGGCCAGGGAAAAAGTTCAGATCGGATGTGGGGAGGGGGTGTCATTCGGAAGCTTCAAAAGTCTATGGAGCCCAAAACAAAATTCTGATTTCTAAATTCTGATTTTTCCTCCCTCTGCAGCGTCACACTGGCAGTTGGGACAAGACAGTCATCGAATACAAGACAACAAAAACTTCCCGGTTGCCCATCATTGATGTGGCTCCCATGGACATTGGTGGCAGAGACCAGGAATTCGGCCTTGAGATTGGACCAGTTTGCTTCTTGTAAACCCAAAAGGAAACCTGACAGTTTAAAAAATAAAATAAAAAACAGCCAAAAAAGAAGGAAATTTCACATGGACTTGAATTTGTGTCTTTTTCTATCCATCATCTCTAAAACTATTTTTGTTTCCGTTAAAAAAAACACAAAAAAAGCATTAAACCAAAAAAATAAAAATAAATGACTTTTCAAAAATAATTAAGGAAGTGCATCCACTTGCTTGACTTTATTATTATTATTAAAATCCCCAAAGACAGAATGGTTTGATTTTATCTTCTTCTTTAAAAAAAAAGATCAAGTAATATTGTGGGACCAATATTTGTACATTCCAAAAATACATATATAAAAACCATACAAAATGACAAAATCAGTCGAAACCAAGCAACACCTAAAATGCATCTGTATGAAAATCTGGTGTGTGTTTTTTTCTTCCTGGCAGTAATCAGAGCAATACTAAACTTAGTGGTAGAACCTGCCCATCACAAGCCCATCAAAAATAACCTCCCCTCCTCTCAGCCTAGAACTGTAATAATAAATAAACCCCAAAATCTACCTATAGACCATCTTTCTCTGCCGGTACCTGATAGAAAGAGATTTATCTTTCTCTCTCTTTTTTATTTTTACTCGGAGCAAAGCCACTGAAAAGATGATTCTTTCAGCCATTTTAAATGTACTTTTTTCAGTTTTGTTCAGTCGGCAACAGGGATAAATTTGGCGAAGTTATCATAAAAAAAGGTGTGGCACTGAGTGGTTTTTCGAAACAGAAACCTGTTTGAAGGAAAAGAACAGGTGATAGTGCCTGTCCCTCTCACAGACATCAGGTAGAGGGGGGGAAAGACAGGTTTAAGAGCTTTAATTATTTTGTCAGTGAGCAACTGAAGGGGAAAAATGGCCAATAATACCAGAAAGCAGAGAAAATGTAATGTTTAAATGTATATTATTGTTGTATGGATGGCTACCTCACCATTGTCTTTTTCAAGTTCTTTGGGGTAGTTTTGGGGTCTTTTTTTTAATACTAGCATCAGCTTGCATGGGGGGGGGCGAAGAAACTGGGCAGAGTTTCAGGTTTAGATAAAGGTGCTACCTGTGTCTTTCATATATCTTTTTTTTTTTTTTAGTCTGCTATGTTAATAATTTTCAGGTCCCATGAACTTTTTATTTTTTTGAGGTGACGAAACCTAGAAAAACCTCGCCCCGAGCACAGCTTTGCTGAAAGGGGGGCCATTTGGTGCTATAGAAATGAGATTATTGGAGGGGGAAAGCAAACTGGATGCCTTGCTGCCCAGAGATACTTGTGAATTTTTTCTTTCAAAAGGTGCTATTTCTTTTTTAACAAGCAAAAATAATAATTAAAAAAATCGAGGATGAGGAAAAAAATAAATCAAACATTGCTACAAGGGATCAAGGTCTCAGCAGTTTCTGTCTTTCTCTTGTAAAGCAGGTGGATTCTCTTTTGGCTTGTATTTTCTCCCCCATTCCCTCAGTTCTTCTCCTCCATCACCACCTCTCTCTCTTTTTCTCTCTTTCTTCCATCTTTCGTCCCATCCCACAAGCAAACACTTTTGCTCATCGCCCTCCCTCGCTGCTGATTCATTTTTCCCTTTCTTATCCATCTCTTTTTCCTCAGCTCTGCCAACATCACCCCTCATCTCTCTTTTTCTCCCCCCCCCTTCCTCCACTTTCTGTCTTTCGTTGGGTTTCCAACTCAAGCAAAAAACCCCATAATTCCTCTCTTTCTCACAAGAGGCAGATGTTGTAGGGAGTGTGAGCGGCCGAAGATTCTGTACCTATTTTGTATATGTATAATAATTTGAGATGTTTTTAATTATTTTGACTGCTGAAATAAAGCATGTGAAATGATCCAACACACCGGTTGTTCTTCGGACTTTTTCTGTCACGCAAGGCCAGGGCGTTGGTTGGGAGAACGGGGCAAAGGCTTCCTGCACTTTTACTGGTGTGCCTAACATTTCAAACGTGAGCCGCTTTGGGAAATTATCATTACTAACCAGTGCTGTATTTTTTCCTAGAAAAAGAGGTGCCGGAACTCACCATGAACACCTCCCTTGTTGTCTTAAAATGGCGCCCATCTGAAGGGTGCCAGAACTGAGTTCCGGAGAGTTCCGGCTAGATTAAAAAATGCCCTGTTGTTAACTGTCATGGCTTTCCTCAAGGAACCAAGGGGAACACAGGGCATTGAGATAATTTTCTGTCAGGGAAGTGGAGCCCAGGCCCTCCATATGTTCCTGGACTTCCAAGTCCCATCAGTCCCTGGTCAGAAATGGTGGGACTTGTGGTCCGGCAAGATCTTGAAGGCCACAGGATCCTTGATTTGGGGAGAAACATGTCCCGGCGTTTCTCACTGGGAGCCCCACCAATTGACATTTGCAGTGTGGGCACGCTGTAGCCTGAGGGAAAGGAGTCTGAGTTTTGTTCCTTCGCTTAGTTCTTCTGACAACTTCTCCCTTTGCATGGTCCTGTCTCATCCTCGCTCTCTCCTTGTATGCCTGGTTATTTCCTCCCACCCCACAACTTCTTGTAGAACTGGTCAATATGTCCCCTGCCCCACCCAATGCTGCCATTAGTCTTGACAACTTCTAACCGCCTGGCTCCCATATGTTTTAACACAGAGAGACGGAAAAAACAAACTTAAGCAGGTAAAGCGCTCGTCGTTTTAGCTCCCTGAGAAGAAAAATGCCTCTTGTTACTTTGTGGGTCACGCTCCCCCCGGCAAAAACCCACCACACCAACACACCTCACCTGTCCTCCTGGCTGCCACCCTCATCCTCTGTTCAACAGATTCATTTTGATTCGATTTTTTTCCTCCCCGTCTCCAGATATTTCACCTCAGACATTTGCCCCCACAGGAATTCCCTGCTGGTTTCCAGCCCCCGTGAAATTTCTCTTTTAATCCTCCCTCCCCACCATCTCAAAACCCCCAGAGAGCTGGAAGAAACAAGCAAACAGCCAACCCACCACCCAACATTCAGTTTCATAACAGAGTGGCAATGAATTCTGGACAAAAAAAAAACATAAAAACTATATACTTAGCAAAATGCTGAGGAAGATGGTACTCCTTGAGGCAGGAGGCTTAAGTTCCGACAAATACTTATAAAGCAAAAAAAACTTTCTGGGAATATTCCACCCCGAAAATTTCTTTTTCACACTCACATTTCTCCCCTCATATATTCCCTCCCCCCTCTTCTCTATGAGCCGGAGAACACCTTTCTTTTAAAGGAAGCTGAACATATTCCAGAAACCAAAAGCCCATCTCCCCTCCCACAAACAAAACATCAGTTCCATTATTTAAAAAGGTGCCCCAACACCACAATCGTCACCTTCCCCTCCTGCAATACATTCATGCAAAGTGTGATTTATGAGGGTGAAACGCCAGAGCTTGAGTTTGCCTAGCGGCCAATGCCATCTTACCCTTGAAGCCTCGTGCCAACGATCCAAACTGTGTGGGAGAGATGTTGTGGGGGGGATAAAAGGCACTCTGTGCATGCTCAGAAGCACTTCTCCATGGCACTGAAAAGAGATTTCAAGGCTGAGCTGTGGAGGCACATGCGAAGCTGTGGGATCTTGCCTGCAGATGCTCAAAGCCAGAAGGAACAAGCTTCACAGCCTCATTGCTTCACCTCAACATCCACCAGCCTTTCTTTCTTGGGTTTCTTCTACCTCTTATCCATTGTCCAGGAACCATCCTTGCCTCTGGTCTCCTTTTCCAGTTTGCCATTATGTCAGATATGCACCAGTTGCAGCCCATCTCCCCAACACCCTACCAGCTCTCTCATATACTCAGCATTTCTGAGATCTTTGCAAACCGTACTGAGCTTCCCATTCCTTTTGCTTACCTGACGCTCTAAACAGGAGAGGGAGAAGGTTGTGTGAGGGGGGAGAGAGCCCTCCTCCTCCCTCACCAAACGCGAGAGCTGGCGTCTTCTCCCCACACGCCAGGAAAGCTGGACGGCGTTCAATGGTCCTCATTCAGGAGCTAGCGAGAAGAGGGGCTCTTTGCATCAAAGGGTGCTTTGTCAGAGGGGGATACGCACAGCAAGGGCATCATGCGCAAACATGCGCACGGTGGATGTTTTGCCCCCTTCCAAAGAGGCCTGGTTGTGAAGGCGGAAAAAGCACAGCCGCTCAGACGGCTGCTCATGAATAAGCAGCTTTTGGGAACACAAAGGATGGATGGAGCGTTTTCAAAACAACCAACATCTGTCTGGGAAACCCCAAGGCCCAAATGGAGTGGGATGAAAACCAGTCTCGGCAGTTTCTGCCTTGATGTTGCTGTGTAGCTGTCTTACACAGGGTCAGACCATTTGCCCATCGCAGGGCCGGATTTAGGTTTGATGAGGCGCCAAACTACTGAAGGTAATTGGGGCCCTTTATATGTCCAGCTGTCCTTTGTCAACAACAAATTGTCACTGTTTTTGTGTGTTGAATATATGCTCTGCGGTAATTTATGGACCTAATAGGTATCTAAAGCCATATGCACATGTTGCCAGGCAACCAGTCCATGCAAAATGTAGGCACCCTATATATAGAAATGAGCAAACCAGAGATATGTTAGGGAGCAGGCTAACAGGCAGGGCCCATTACTTACATCATAGAAGAAGACGAGTTTGCATTTGATATCCCACTTTATCACTAGCCTAAAAGGTAATGGTAAAGGGACCCCTGACTGCTAAGTCCAGTCGCAAACGACTCTGGGGTTGTGGTGCTCATCTTGATTTACTGGCCGAGGGAGCCGGCATTTGTCCACAGAGAGCTTCTGGGTCATGTTGCCAGCATGACTAAGCCGCTTCTGGCAAACCAGAGCAGCGCACGGAAATGCTGTTTACCTTCCCGCTGGAGCGGTACCTATTTATCTACTTGCACTTTGACGTGCTTTTGAACTGCTAGGTTGGCAGGAGCTGGGACCGAGCAATGAGAGCTCACCCCGTCACGGGGATTCGAACTGCCGACCTTCTGATCAGCAAGCCCAAGAGGCTCAGTGGTTTAGACCACAGTGCCACCCGCGTCCCTACCCTAAGGAGTCTCAAAGCGGCTAACAATCTCCTTTCCCTTCCTCCCCCACAACAAACACTCTGTGAGGTGAGTGAGGCTGAGAGATTTCATAGAAGTGTGACTAGCCCAAGGTCACCCAGCAGCTGCATATGGAGGAGCGGGGAAGCGAACCTGGTTCACCAGATTACGAGTCTACCGCTCTTAACCACTACATACACACTGGCTTCTGTAGGAGTTTTATTTTATTTGTTTTTTATCTCATATTTTGGAAATGCAAATCCAGTTTTTTTTTCTTTAAAGAGAGTGGGGCCCTAAGCATTATTATTATTATTATTTTTAAAGCCCTATACAGGATTGCCTTCAGATGGCTCGGGGGTTGGATAACACCATACCCTCCAACATACCTCCAATGAAAATAGGGACACCCTAAGGGAAAGTGGGGGGCACGTGTGGTGCTGTGGGTTAAACCACAGAGCCTAGGACTTGCCGACCAGAACGTCGGCAGTTCGAATCCCCGCAACGGGGTGAGCTCCTGTTGCTCGGTCCCTGCTCCTGCCAACCTAGCAGTGCGAAAGCACGTCAAAGTGCAAGTAGATAAATAGGTACCGCTCCGGCGGGAAGGTAAACGGCATTTCCGTGCGCTGCTCTGGTTCACCAGAAGCTGCTTAGTCATGCTGGCCACATGACCTGGAAGCTGTACGCCGGCTCCCTCGGCCAATAAAGCGAGATGAGCACCGCAACCCCAGAGTCAGCCACGACTGGACCTAATGGCCTTTACCTTTTAAGGGAAAGTGGATCATTCCAGGATCAAATCAGAAACCGGGACGGCTTCTCTAAATCAGGGACATCCCTGGAAAATAGGGACACTCAGAGGGTCTGTTCAAGATGACCCTAACTCCATGTAGACTAGCCCCGAAACACCCACTGCCCAGAAATGTATCCATCATCAATATTAAGACTGATCTGAAATGCCCACTTAGCAATGATGCACTCTCAGGACAGGAAGAACTACAACAGAGTCCGCATAGTGCTCCAACTATTCATCTACAATGAAGCTTCTGTGCTGAGTTTCCCAGAGGCCCTTCGACTTGGACCGGGGGTGGGATAACTTTGCAGCACTCTGAATTTGCTCCTTCAGAACTCAGGCAATGCTTGCTGTACAGCAAAATCTGTGCTCTGTTCAACAGAAAATGGATTTTACAAAATGGAAAATGATTGTGAAATGGTGAGGCACTGCTGCAAAAAGGACCGTCTTTGTGTTTATACTCATGCATTTATCCATTTCTGGTCCTAGCTTCAGAATCAAGGTGCAAGGTATATGAGATGTGCAGTATGCGCCTTCATATTTGCCTTATTAAATCAAACTTTTCACATGGCTGCTCCACAGATTTGGAGGCAGGGAATGCTGCTCTGGTGATGTCACAGAAACTGGCCAATCAGCAGCTACCACAACCACAGATATATCTGGGAGATCAAGCTTAGAATCTGTTTCTTTCCCCAGGTAGAGCTTGAAGCGTGCTGAAGATCTGCAAAAACCCGTTTGCTCTGAGCAGACGACAGCTAGACAGAAAAGCTGTATTCCGTATTGTGGACTATGGAGACTCCTCCACTTTTCTGCAACTGAATGGAACGGAGACGAGGATAGGAACATGTTGCTTTTTCGTGGATTATGTGCTTTCATGTTATGGTCCTTGGTTAGCCAGTGAACCAGAAAAGGAAAGAAAAAGATGGCTTGCTTTTTTTCTGGATGCAGGCTAAAAAGAGAGCCAATACTTTCGGGAGATGGAGGAGGAGGAGGAGGAGAATAATAATCCTGGACAGTCTGCTCCAATCAACTGCCATGGCATTAAATTTGTAGGT